TGAATCAAGAGTACAACAGTTAAATGAGAAATCGTTTATCCTCACTCTGCCGAGGTCGCTTGCGGGCGAGGCAATACGATTTAACTATACCAACATAAAGCTGGTATATACTATTGGATATAGAGCCTCGCCCGCAAGCGACCTCGGCTTAATACGTTGAAATACACGATGTCACTGTATTAAGCCGAGGTAGCTTGCGGCCGAGGCGGTTGACACCAACCCTGTCTTGATATAGTATTAATTGTAGCGCCTCGCCCGCAAGCGACCTCGGCTTAATACGTTGAAATGCACGATGTCACTGTATTAAGCCGAGGTTGCTTGCGACCGAGCCGGCAGTTTCTTAACACAAGTCTTGTGTTGATATGGTGTTAACTCTAGCGTCTCGGCAGCAAGCAACCTCGGTTTAATACAGTGACATCGAGCACTTCAATGTATTAAGCCGAGGTCGCTTGCGGCCGAGGCGGTAGTTTCTTTGACATAAGTCTTGTATTGACATAGTATTAACTCTAGCTTCTCAGCCGCAAGCGACCTCGGCTTAATACACTGAAATACACGATGTCACTGCATTAAGCCTAGGTTGTCTGCGGCCGAGGCGGTAGTTTCTTGGCACAAGTCTTGTGTTGATATGATGTTAACTTTAGCGCCTCGGTCGCAAGGATCGCTTACGGCCGAGGCGGTTGATATAGTATTAATTGTAGCGCCTCGCCCGCAAGCGACCTCGGCTTAATACGTTGAAATGCATGATGTCACTGTATTAAGCCGAGGTCGCTTGCGGCCGAGGCGACAAGCAACCTCGGTTTAATACAGTGACATTGAGCACTTCAATGTATTAAGCCTAAGTCGCTTGCGGCCAAGGCGGCAGCTTTTTTTGACATAAGTCTTGTATCGATATAGTATTAACTTTACCGCCTCGGCTTTATACAGTGACGTCGTGCAATTCAACGTATTAAGCCAAGGTCGTTTGCGGGCGAGGCGCTACAATTAATACTATATCAACACAGGGTTGGTGTCAAACAAAGTACTGCCTCGGCCGCAAGCGGCCTCGGTTTAATATACTAAAACACACGATGTTAGTGTATTAACCTGAGATTCCTTGCGACCGAGGCGCTACAGTTAATTCCATATTAACACATGACTGGTGTCAAACAATGTACTGCCTCGGCCGCAAGCGGCCTCGGCTTAATATAATAAAATACAAGATGTCACTGTATTAAGCCAAGGCAACAGTGCGTTATTAAGTTATTTGGACAAGAATATCAAGATTGGTTGTAACCCAATAGTTTCAAGAATGGAATTTTGAAGGCAATTTCAGAAAACATCTCAAAATAAATCCTAAAATTTTATCAATAATCGCAAATCGATTTTTAAAAATAACTCAATCTTACATTACTCTTCGATTACATGTATTTATATTACTTAAAAGAATAACCGCAATGCAAAATAAACCATTTCGTCGAACACGATTGGTTTCGTTATGTAAGTTTTTTTTATTTTTAAATCCAATTAAAACGAAGCTTTAAAACTCATAGAAACATGATTTAAAAGTGCCAAGTGGTAAGGCGCCGAGCGTTTTTAATCGATACACACGCCCGTTCTTTGTGCAATCCGTGTCATGCACGTGCCAGAAAACCCAGAGGGGGTCGCAAACGTGAAAACTGCATCGGTCGATATGAATAAAGAGGCACCTTTTTTTGGGATTGTGCAATTTTCGCTGTCGCAATTGATCTTATTTTAAAGAAAAAGGAAAAGTTTTCTGGCGAGAAGTTTACGTTTTGTGGGCGTGATGATAAAAGTTTATGGTTTTCTTGCCAATTGACGCAAACATTGTTTTTGTTGTGGAAAGAGAGATTTTTTTTTAATTTCAAATGCCAAGTATTAATTAATTTTTTGACATTTTTAATTTTGATTGAGGTTTAATTTTTTTAGCGAGTACTTATGTGTGCCTAATTTTAACACGTTGTGACGTAAGCACGGAGAGGAGGTCGAGTTCTAAATTTATAAATTTTTGAAATATTTATGGGTTGGTTAAAGTTTGCGCAAAGTTTTTGCATAAAATATAAGCAGCTGATTTTGTGACCTTGGGTTGGGTTTTGCTGCTGTAGATCGATAGGGCATTGCCGCAGAACGATTCAAAAGGAATTTTCCATTCACCATCCCCCCAAAAAAAAAATTCTAACTAATAATTAATAATAATTTTAAATTCTAATATTAATCAAATCACGCATTAAGAAAACATTAATTTCTTAGATTAATTTAATTTTTGTATAAATTAAAAAAAAATTATTTACCTTTTTGAAGCTCTTAAAATCGCTGCTAAAAAACTGGAAACATATCTCGCAGACAATAGATTTATTATAAATTATTAACCTCTTATATTCAGTGAAAGCGAATTTATTAAAACAATTTTCCTTTTCCGGTCAAATCGGCGATTTCAAATCACTTCGATGAAATGGATAAATTCGTTTAAACTTTTTTTGGGTAAAAACACTACAAAATAACGCGTTGTACACTAAACCGAGGTGATTTAGTCGCCTGCGAGTTGGTCTAGAGCTAAATGACGAAAAGAATGGATAGGATATTATCAGTACGCAAGCGCGTGTCCTCAAAAAACCTGAGATACTCAAAATGTTGTTTACAGAACTGATTTCATTGTACGCCACGTTTGTATCAAAAAGGTTAATAAAACGTTGAAAAATTAACAATATTAAAGAAAAACAACTAAAAAATATTATGGACTTAAAAATATAGAATATTTTTAGTATATTATTGAATATTGACCTTTTGCTATCGTTTCATTTCATTGCCACATATCAGATCATTATTGGAACAATTTGGATTAATTGTTATTCGCAAATCAAGGCTAAGAAGTTGATCTCTTTCGAAACATTTTCCTCTCTATTTAATTTCAACTATCGTTAAAAATTAATTAAAGATGAAAACGTAAATATTTGAGCTTTGAAGTTGATATTTCTAAGTTACGGGGAAAGCGATTTCTTCAAACGTCAATTGAATCTTTTCTTGAGTTGAATTCTTCGTACATCTCAATTCTTGTGAACAATATCGGATCTTGACATACACTGCAACAAAATTTTCTGTCTAACAAGCTAGACGTGTCTACTACTAGTATTTATTAATATGCCAGTCGAAGAAATTCTATCATATTACAATAAAGTGCAATAACCACTACTTCAAAAATGCACCACAAAATGTTACTGCTAAAAGGGAGGGGAAGATAACCGTTTATAAGCAGAGTTAATAGTAATAACTATGTTTCAGAAATATTTATTTTGCAAGTTTGGCTGTAATGTTTGGAAGATTGTTTTGAAATTGCATTGATTTACTTTGGGTGTGAGTTGGAATGTTTTGGAAATGAGTTGGGCTTCTTTAGAATTAGATTAAATGGTTTAGTATTGAAAAGGCTTACTTTGTATGTCAGTTGGGTTGCTTTGAAATTAGATTCTGCCGCTTTGGAACTGAGGTAACTGATTATGAGTCTCCTTTGGGATATTTTGTTGGTGCTTTGAAATTAAATAGGCTTACTTTGGGTGTTAGTTGGGCTGTTTTGTATTGGATTCTCGGCGTAATACGTTGAAATGGACGTTGTCATTGTATTAAGCCGAGGTCGCTTGCGGCCGAGGCAGTAGTTTCTTGACACAAGTTTTGTGTTGATATGGTGTTAACATTAGTGCCTCGGCCGCAAGCAACCTCAGTTTAATGCAGTGACATTGAGTACTTCAATGTATTAAGCCGAGGTCGCTTGCGGCCGAGGCGGTAGTTTCTTTGACATAAGTCTTGTATTGATATAGTATTAACTCTAGCGCCTCAGCCGCAAGCGACCTCGGCGACAGTTTCTTTGACATAAATCTTGTATTGATGTGGTATTAACTTTAGCGCCTCGGCTTTATACAGTGACATCGTGCAATTCAACGTATTAAGCCGAGGTCGCTTGCGGCCAAGGCAGTTGACACCAACCCAGTGTTGATATAGTATTAATTGTATAGTCTCGCCCGCAAGCGACCTCGGCTTAATACGTTGAAATACACGATGTCACTGTATTAAGCCGAGGTAGCTTGCGGCCGAGGCGGTTGACACCAACCCTGTCTTGATATAGTATTAATTGTAGTGCCTCGCCCGCAAGCTTGGAACTTACTTTGGGTGTGAGTTGGAATGTTTTGGAAATGAGTTGGGCTACTTTAGAATTAGATTAAATGGTTTAGTATTGAAAAGGCTGACTTTGTATGTCAGTTGAGTTGCTTTGAAATTGGATTCTGCCGCTTTGGAACTGAGTTAACTGATTATGAGTCTCCTTTGGGATATTTTGTTGGTACTTTGAAATTAAATACGCTTACTTTGGTTGTTAGTTGGGCTGTTTTGTATTGGGTTAGGTTGCTTTGTAACTGAATTAGGTTACTTTTGATTTAGGTTGCATTGTTTTGAGATTGGGTTGAGTTTCATTAAAATTAGAATTGAGTAAATTTACTTTGAGTGTGAATTGGATTGCTTTGGATTTGGTTAAATTTCTTTGGGATCAGAAAAAGGACTTTCTTCTTTTATTGATAGAACCTATGTTATTTTTGCCATGGATCTTGATATGTTGTTTGATAATAGTATTTGTTCCCGAAAAATTGTAGTCCAGTTTTAATTAAAGAGATCTCGTAATCAAAGCAAAATTCAAAAGTTTGGCTGTAATTTTGAAAATTTGCTTTAAAATTAAGTTGACTTAGTTTCGGTGTGAGTTGGAATGTTTTGGAAATGAGTTGACATTCTTTATAATTACATTAAATGGTTTAGTATTGAGAAGGCTTACTTTCTATGGCCGCTTTGGAACTGAGTTAACTGATTGTGGGTCTTCTTTGGGATATGCTTTGAAATTAAGGCTTACTTTGGGTGCGAGTTGAGCTGTTTTGGGTTGGGTTGCTTTGTAACTGAGTTTGGTTACTTTTGATTTAGGTTGCATCCTTCTCTAGGTCCCAACCTAATTCAAAAGCAACCTAAGCTTTGGATTCCGTTTCTTTAGAAGTAGGTTGGGTTGTTTTGGGATTGGGTTGGGTTGCTTTTAAATTAGGTTGAGTTTCTGTAGAAAGAGGTTGAGTTGCATTGGAATTGCATTTAGTTGCATTTAGAATGAGGTTGGATGCTTTGGATTTGAATTCCGTTTTTTTAGAAATAGATTGGGTTGCTTTGGGATTGGATAGACAGTCTTTGGATATGAATTAATTAATTTGGGCTTCTTTAGATTTAGATTAAGTGGTTTAGTATTGAAAAGGCTTACTGTGTATGTCAGTTGGGTTGCTTTGAAATTAGATTCTGCTGCTTTGGAACTGAGTTAACTGATTATGAGTCTCCTTTGGGATATTTTGTTGGTGCTTTGAAATTAAATAGGCTTACTTTGGTTGTTAGTTGGGCTGTTTTGTATTGGGTTAGGTTGCTTTGTAACTGAATTAGGTTACTTTTGATTTAGGTTGCATTGTTTTGAGATTGGGTTGAGTTTCATTAAAATTAGAATTGAGTAAATTTACTTTCAGTGTGAATTGGATTACTTTGGATTTGGTTAAGTTTCTTTGGGATCAGAAAAACCACTTTCTTCTTTTATTGACAGAACCTATGTTAGTTTTGCCATGGATCTTGATATGGTAAATCTTGCAGTAAAATTCCATTTTTTGTCTTAGAAAATATAAGCCAAGATCTTTTAACCCTTTCGCAATTAGCCAACGTCCAGTATCACATAGAACATACTTGTACTATTATTTATTCCGTGGTCAAAGTTAAGTGTTTAAGTGTTTTGAAATTACGATAACTTTCTTTGGGCACGAATTGGGTTTTTTTTTTGGATTGTGTTACTTTACTATCGAGTCAGCTTACTCTGAGATTTCTAAAGAGAGTCGAATTCAAAAGCAACCCAACCCAATTACAAAGCAACCCAACCTAATTCAAAAGCAATCTAACCCAGGTAGCTTTGGATTCCGTTTCTTTAGAAGTAGGTTGGGTTGTTTTGGGATTGGGTTGGGTTGCTTTTAAATTAGGTTGAGTTTCTGTAGAAAGAGGTTGAGTTGCATTGGAATTGCATTTAGTTGCATTTAGAATGAGGTTGGATGCTTTGGATTTGAATTCCGTTTTGTTAGAAATAGATTGGGTTGCTTTGGGATTGGATAGACATTCTTTGGATATGAATTAATTAATTTGGGCTTCTTTAGATTTAGATTAAGTGGTTTAGTATTGAAAAGGCTTACTTTCTATGTCAGTTGAGTTGCTTTGAAATTGGATTCTGCCGCTTTGGAACTGAGTTAACTGATTATGAGTCTCCTTTAGGATATTTTGTTGGTGCTTTGAAATTAAATAGGCTTACTTTGGTTGTTAGTTGGGCTGTTTTGTATTGGGTTAGGTTGCTTTGTAACTGAATTAGGTTACTTTTGATTTAGGTTGCATTGTTTTGAGATTGGGTTGAGTTTCATTAAAATTAGAATTGAGTAAATTTACTTTGAGTGTGAATTGGATTGCTTTGGATTTGGTTAAATTTCTTTGGGATCAGAAAAAGGACTTTCTTCTTTTATTGATAGAACCTATGTTATTTTTGCCATGGATCTTGATATATTGTTTGATAATAGTATTTGTTCCCGAAAAATTGTAGTCCAGTTTTTTGTGGTTGGTTTGTTTCCAAGGATTTTCATTTCCCCGTAATTAAAGAGATCTCGTAATAAAAGCAAAATTCAAAAGTTTGGCTGTAATTTTGAAAATTTGCTTTGAAATTAAGTTGACTTAGTTTGGGCGTGAGTTGGAATGTTTTGGAAATGAGTTGAGCTTCTTTATAATTACATTAAATGGTTTAGTATTGAGAAGGCTTACTTTCTATGGCCGCTTTGGAACTGAGTTAACTGATTGTGGGTCTTCTTTGGGATATGCTTTGAAATTAAGGCTTACTTTGGGTGCGAGTTGAGCTGTTTTGGGTTGGGTTGCTTTGTAACTGAGTTTGGTTACTTTTGATTTAGGTTGCATCCTTCTCTAGGTCCCAACCTAATTCAAAAGCAACCTAAGCTTTGGATTCCGTTTCTTTAGAAGTAGGTTGGGTTGTTTTGGGATTGGGTTGGGTTGCTTTTAAATTAGGTTGAGTTTCTGTAGAAAGAGGTTGAGTTGCATTGGAATTGCATTTAGTTGCATTTAGAATGAGGTTGGATGCTTTGGATTTGAATTCCGTTTTGTTAGAAATAGATTGGGTTGCTTTGGGATTGGATAGACATTCTTTGGATATGAATTAATTAATTTGGGCTTCTTTAGATTTAGATTAAGTGGTTTAGTATTGAAAAGGCTTACTTTCTATGTCAGTTGAGTTGCTTTGAAATTGGATTCTGCCGCTTTGGAACTGAGTTAACTGATTGTAGGTCTTCTTTGGGATATTTTGTAGGTGCTTTGAAATTAAATACGCTTACTTTGGGTGTAAGTTGGGCTATTTTGTATTGGGTTAGGTTGCTTTGTAACTGAATTAGGTTACTTTTGATTTAGGTTGCATTGTTTTGAAATTGGGTTGAGTTTCCTTTAAATTAGAATTGTGTAAATTTAATTTGAGTGTGAATTGGATTGCTTTGGATTTGGTTAAATTTCTTTGGGATCAGAAAAAGCACTTTCTTCTTTTATTGATAGAACCTATGTTATTTTTGCCATGGATCTTGATATGGTAAATCTTGCAGTAAAATTCCATTTTTTGTCTTAGAAAATATAAGCCAAGATCTTTTAACCCTTTCGCAATTAGCCAACGTCCTGTATCACATAGAACATACTTGTACTATTATTTATTCCGTGGTCAAAGTTAAGTGTTTAAGTGTTTTGAAATTACGATAACTTTCTTTGGGCAGGAATTGGTTTGTTTTTTGGGATTGTGTTACTTTACTGTCGAGTCAGCTTACTCTGCGATTTCTAAAGAGAGTCGAATTCAAAAGCAACCCAACTCAATTACAAAGCAACCCAACCTAATTCAAAAGCAACCTAAGCTTTGGATTCCGTTTCTTTAGAAGTAGGTTGGGTTGTTTTGGGATTGGGTTGGGTTGCTTTTAAATTAGGTTGAATTTCTTTAGAAAGAGGTTGAGTTGCATTGAAATTGGGTTGGGTTGCTTTTTAATTGGGTTGGGTCTTCAACCCAATTAATTCAACTTTAGAATGAGGCAGAGAATGAGCAATACCTAGGTTGGGTTGCTTTGGGATTGGATAGACATTCTTTGGATATGAATTAAAATATTTACGAATTGGATGGGATTGTTTTATAACTGAATTAGGTTAGTTTTAAGATTGGTTTGAATTGTTTTGGCATTGGCGAGGGTTTCTTTAGAAATAGATTGGAATTAAATAGATTTAGTTGGATTGGTTTTGAATTGGGTTGTGTTATGTTGGAATTGTTGATCACTAACAACCCGGACGGTTGTATTAACCAGGCAAGCATACCGATGCATATGTCAGACCACAATCTTGTTCAATGTGACATTACTATTTCTGATTCAAGGCCCATTCCGATTACCAAATTTTGTAGACCTATATCAAACATCGATGCCTATAGTCTGAAGGGTGATTTATCCCGGTTACCACTCTAAGCAATCTATCATATAACTGATGTTAATCAGAAAGTACATTTTTTAAACACTCATCTTTTGGCACTTCTAGATTTTCATGCACCGGTTCGGTCACTCAGATTACTAATGATGTCGCTGAGGGATAGAGCCTTATCTCGATATAAAAGAACTAAATTAATAGCGCACTTCGACTACTACAAATCTTTACGCAATTTAACGACTTCTGCAATACGACGAGAAAAGAAATCTTTCTTAAATAGTACATTTGTGACTAGTGATGTAAAGAGTAGTTGGCGGCTGTTATCCAAGTTGCAGATTGTCAACAGGTCCAAATCCACTGTTCCTGCACATTTAGATGATGTTGGAAATATTAATGATTATTTTGTGAATTCTGTTGGTTATGCTGATGTGGATGATGATTTGCTCACTTTTTATGGTACAAATATGCTTTACCCAAATTCCCATGAGAGATTTTCGTTTGGACTCAGTGACACCTCTTCGATCATTAAAATTTTAAATGGCATTAAATCAACATCTTCTGGTATAGACGAATTGAACATCACATTTATAAGAATGTGTCTCCCTGAAATATTGCCCTACCTTATAAATACCTGTCTTGAACATGCTATTTTCCCGGAAGCCTGGAAGATTGCTTTGGTAATGCCGTTGCCTAAAAAACCAAAACCAGCAGGTTTGGCGGACCTGCGTCCAATTAGTATCCTGCCAGTTATCTCAAAAGTCCTTGAAAGGTGCATGGAGGTCCAATTGCGTAAATATATTAGTGATCATAACATCTTGCCCACCTCTCAGTCTGGTTTTCGACCTNAAGTTAAGTGTTTAAGTGTTTTGAAATTACGATAACTTTCTTTGGGCAGGAATTGGTTTGTTTTTTGGGATTGTGTTACTTTACTGTCGAGTCAGCTTACTCTGCGATTTCTAAAGAGAGTCGAATTCAAAAGCAACCCAACTCAATTACAAAGCAACCCAACCTAATTCAAAAGCAACCTAACCCAGGTAGCTTTGGATTCCGTTTCTTTAGAAGTAGGTTGGGTTGTTTTGGCATTGGGTTGGGTTGCTTTTAAATTAGGTTGAATTTCTTTAGAAAGAGGTTGAGTTGCACTGAAATTGGGTTGGGTTGGTTTTTAATTGGGTTGGGTCTTCAATACATTGTACATATTATAAATACCTGTCTTGAACATGCTATTTTCCCGGAAGCCTGGAAGATTGCTTTGGTAATGCCGTTGCCTAAAAAATCAAATCCAGCAGGTTTGGCGGACCTGCGTCCAATTAGTATCTTGCCAGTTATCTCAAAGGTGCATGGAGGTCCAATTGCGTAAATATATTAGTGATCATAACATCTTGCCCACCTCTCAGTCTGGTTTTCGACCTAACCATAGCTGTACAACGGCTCTATTAAAGACGATATTATTAGAGCTCGTGATGGCGGTCTATGTGGGATACTTGTGCTGCTGGACTACAGTAAGGCCTTTGATAAGGTTAACCATTCAATGCTTTTAGCTCTTCTGCGCTATGTTGGTCTGTCCGACTCAGCGGTTTTGCTTTTGGAAAGTTTCCTATCCAATCGTGCTCAGATAGTAAAATTGAACAATGTATCTTCATCATCACTGCCTGTGAGAGTGGGAGTGCCACAGGGGTCTATTCTGGCTCCTCTATTGTTTTCCTTGTATACATCCCAGTTGCCTAAGTGCATTCAATATTTGTCGATACACATGTACGCAGATGATACCCAAATTTAAATAACCTTTCCAAAGGAACACCTCGCTTCTGCTTGCTCAAAAATAAATGCAGATCTGAACGCTATTTTAGATTGCTCGCACAAGATGGCACTAACTCTCAATGCCACTAAATCTAAGGTAGTCATCTTTGGTAACTTGGACTCTGATAGTGTCGGTATATTTTTGGGTGGAGAGAGGTTGGTAGTGTACCCTGAGTCAAAAAATCTGGGTGTGCTTGTCGACAGCAATCTGCGATTTAGCAGTCATGTCACTGCTTGCGTGAAAAAGGCATATGGTGTTCTTAGATGCCTCCATCAACACCGACACATTTTAAATAAGAAACGTTTGTGCGAAACACTTGTTCTGTCAAGTGTTATTGAAGCCTTTCAGCTGCTAGCTTTATCAAGTGAAGTTGTAGAGCTGTTAACTCATTAAACCCAGGACACTTGCTTGCAGAATTAATGTTGATTATTATTTATTTGTAATTTAATTATTTAGTTTTGTGTTGTTTTTCATGCTCGTTTTGTGACTGTGTCTGTTATAGTCACTGATTAATGCCATTTTTTTTGCCTTCATTTTGCCTTTGTCTTTGTCATAAAGCAGCAATAAAGTATTTCTTGCCTTTTATGGTTCCTCTTCACTATGGGTCATCATAAAATTCTGCAAGCCATCAGTATTATGTAAAGGCTTTACGTTTAATTTAAAAATATTCAAGATCTGCAAACGTCATTTGGACAAAGTTGTCAAATTCTCTAAATGCCTCTTTCAAAACGCTAATGTTTGAAGCACAAATTGTAAAAATTCATGATCTAAATGGTATTTTGCATGAATGCTTCGTTTTGGAGACAACTCTGAAACCAAGATTCCATGTGGCATCAAATTATTTTTAATGATGTGGTTGACTTGACAAATAGATCTGTGACATTTAAGAGATCAAAACTCCACAAACATGTCATGCATCAAAATCGTTAATTAATACTAAATTTTCAAACTACATCCTCAACTAAACCAAAACAAGTTGCGAAATCATCGATAAAATGCTTATCATCTTCCTTTTCTTATCTTATCATAGATAATGAAAAGTTTCCTAACCGTTTCTATATATGTGTAAATTTGTATGTATACATAAATATAAAGTAGTGGGTAACCTTGGCGTGATGAAAAAACGTATTTGCGGCTAGCTCCAATGACGTATAAAAGATAAAACGCTTCAGTTTGAATTTCGATTCCAACATGACGATACCAAGCGATTTAACGAAAATCTCACCGATCGAATTTCAAGAGTTTATAAATTCTTTTGATACCGTTTTATGCGATTGCGATGGTAACTGATTCAATAATGACACATTTATCATTATTTAACAATTTTTGCTTATAGGCGTGTTAATTTTTGTTCAAAAACCAGTTGAAGGTTCCCCAGAAGCTGTGATAAACTTTAAAAAAATCGGCAAATCAGTCCGATATGTTACAAATAACTGCACGAAAACGAAAAAACTTTTTACCGAATCTCTAAAAAAAGCCGGGTATGATTTAGAGGAGCATGATGTAATATCACCAGCGGCAGCTATAATCAAATACTTAAAAAGCATTAATTTTGATAAAAAACTTTTTGTCATGTCGCTTGATGGTTTACAAAACGATTTAATTGAGGCTGGGTTTAAATTAGCAAATACAGGGGTAATAATTAAATTAATTAATTGATAAGGTAAAAAAGTTATTTTTAGCCTCCTCAAGTGGAGCACGAATCCAAAGCGATTGTATCAGCAATTTTTGGTCTCGATGATGATGTTGGGGCTGTTATTATGGACGTTGATGTCAACATGAATTTTATTAAGCTGCAAAGAGCAATTTTGCATTTAAACGATCCTCAAGTTCTTTATATGACGGCCGCTTTAGACGATATGATAACCATCGCGAAAAATGTTACATTAATTGGTCCACAACATTTTCATGGTATCGTTCAAAAGATATCTGGAAGATCTCCTTTGGAGTTTGGAAAACCGGGGCAAAAAATGATTGATTATGTAAAGAACGAATTTAAAGTTGATCCAAATAGAACTTTATTTATTGGAGACACGTAATTAAAAAAGAAAGCGGAATTGATGAATATTTTCACAAATTTGTTGCAGATTTAGCGACATGTCTTTTGCGCATCACGCTGGGTACCAAAAATTGCTGGTTTTATCCGGAGTTGTGAATAAAAGTGATATGGAATCTTGCAAAGATGATACATTAACACCTAAATATTATTTGGAAAGTTTGGGGGAGTTAAATAATTTTCTGGATAAAATGCAACCTTCAAAAAATTCATCTTTATGATTTTAAATAAATAAAATAAAATCCTTTTAGTATAGGCAACCCATTTATTATGATTTATCAACATTTTATTTTGCCTCACTAATAAAATATTCTAAAAATATTAATTAATCATCAAACAAACAACTTTTTAAAGCAAATTTAACCTTGTCATTTCAAGTTTAAACTTAGAAATTAAGTAGCCGCCCAACCGCTATCATCTAGGTCAATAACTCGCTTTTCCTTTTCCCAATTCAATTCAGTTTCAACTCAGTTTGACTCAGTTTGAGGTGAGATTTTGAGCACAACACATCAGAATTTAAATCAACAATGAATACTCAAAATTACGCAATTCACGCTTCTTTCGCAATTGCAATCGGAGTAGCAACTTATTACATATTTTCATCACTTAAAAAGAGGAAATTGCCGAAAAAATGGGTTAAAGTGGGAAATGTGGAAAAATTGTTTATTTATCCACTAAAAAGTGCGAAAAGAGTCGAGATACAAAAAGCCAACACCACACTCGGCGGATTAATCACGTTGGAAGAGAACGGAATTCAATTACGAGATAGGTACAAAATACTTAATAAATTAATAAAAATTACATGTAGAAATTTTAGATCCTTTATTGTTTATTCGCAATCAAATAACGAGATGAAAACAGCCCGAACTTACCCGACGTTATTAAAAATAGAATGTTCCCCACATGATAAAGATCACGTGGTTTTCGACGCTCCAGATCATCGTCCTCTTTACGTTAAAATCCCATCAAAATCAACAACTAAAACATCTTTTATAACGTTCGTATTTATTTTTTTTCCAAAATCCCAAAAAAATAATTACAAAAACAATTTTAGTCTCCATGCTGGTGAACCAATCGAGACTTTAGATTGCGGTGAAGAAGCTGCGCAATGGATATCTCGTTATTTAGAAAAACCCGAAAGTCGAATCGGGTACCACGACGGCGATTACAAAAGAGAAATCAAAAAAATTGATAAAATTTTGCGAGGTTATAAAGAATTAAAGAACGCTTCTTTGGGGTTATACTCCGATCTTTCCGGGTATCATTTAATCAATCAATCATCAATTGATAGATTAAACTCTGAATTAGAAGAACCGATTACCGCGAATAATTACAGGCCCAACTTTTTGGTAAAAGGGACCGCCCCGGCTTTTTCCGAAGAAAAATGGAGTTTGATTAAAATTGGAGATGCGATTTTTGAGAATGTTAAACCTTGCACTCGCTGCGTTTTAACCACTATTAATCCAGAAACGGCTGAGAGATCTCAAACGAGGCAACCGTTAAAGACTTTGGAAGCGCTTAATTTTCTTAAAAAACCCGAACATATCGCTTGTGAAGGAAAAGCGCCAGTTATGGGTATTAATTTGGGTTTGATTCAAAATGGGTTAGTAAATGTCGGTGATACCGTTTATATTCCTGAAAATGAATTGTAAATAATAAAATTGGTTTGTTAAAAATGTTTTCATACATCCAACTCTGCCTTTTAAGTTTTTATAGCCTCAATTTTTTCTTTCATATACAAATAAAAAATTCAACTATCCCAATCATCTCATCAAAGTAGTTAGTACCTCACTAAACGCAACCTTGATAATAACATGTTGGGCAGATTAATGAAGATGGTCAGGGAAATCTTTGAAAACCTTGAAACCGCTGGAAGAGACAAAACTAAACTCTTGATTCAGAGTAAGAGATGGAAATATCATGTTGGGCAGAGTGTCACAATTGGAGACTACAACATCGAAGTACTGGAGAATTGGACAATAACTTCATCTACCTGGGCAGATGAATGTAAACATCGAAAGCGATGAGACTCGAAAAACAAAGACACGAGCTGCAAAGAAAATGTTTTTGAGACCGTCTCCATCACCTGTCTTCAGTCCATAATCTTCTCTCTCAACTCATTACACTCATCCAGCAGATAGTGTAAATACTTATAGTACTTCAGACATAATCTGCACCAGACACTTGCATGAATGGTTTAATTCGCCCGATCAATCAACACTAAGACATCAAGATTTGAACAACACGATTTGCTCAATACGCTGCAGTGTATCAAGAAATAGGCGTCTCTCTCAAGTCTAGTGAAAAGCAGCGAATCGTTAAAAGTATTCGTGAATCATTTACAATGAAATGTCTAAAATTATCAAAATTTTACAAAATAGTTCAAAATTAGAGGTGGCACGGATATCCGGGAATCAAGTTCAACCCCAATAGGACTTTTTTCATTGAATACAACTTTAACGAGAGAACGGTTTGTCATTAGCAACCTCGTTGTAACAATCCCAATACGATATATAAAGTGATAACTGCCACTGTTATCACTTTCGATTATTAATTAAAGTATCCTCTTTTTAATGCAAAAAGCCGTTTTGAAAAATCGCTTTTAGTTCTTGAGATATAAATTTTCGAATTTTGTAATTTTCGCCGATTAAGTTTTAAAAATTCGTATAAAATCCATTTCTTGGAATATAAGTATGAAAATTTCCTAAAGTGTTAATAAAAGTGTCCTCTTTCCAATGATCCAACCCGTTTTGAAAAATAACTTTTAGTTTTTGAGAAAACAATATTTGAAGTTTTGATAAAATCTTCGATGTTGCAATTTTGATCGATAATTTTCAAAATTCGCTATAAAATTAATTTCTTGAAGGATCCTTGTGGAAATATCACCACAAGTGATAAAAATTTTGAAAAATCACTTTTAGTTCTTGAGAAATAAATTTTTATATCAATTCGTTAAATATTCAAAATTTTCACATAAATAAATCTAAAAATACCTATTACATCTTTATTGATGAAAACACCCAGTATATCAGATAGATAATCACCATCTGCTTTACAAGAAATAAAAAAAAACATGTTTTGAACTTTGCACGTTTCGTTTAAGATTAAAGTTTCGTTCGGTGTTATTGCATACTCAACCACGTTTTTGAAAGTGCTATTTTTTAAAAGATAATGAAAACTCAAACGATTTACGTTTTTGGAACAATTGTTGGTGCCGGAATTCTTTACGCGGCGTATAAAAAATTAAAAGTGCGCGAGATCGTGTATGAAATACCAACGAAATGGAGAGCCATCGGAAAATTGCAGTCTTTACATATGCACATTTTAAAAAACGGGCAAGAATATGAAATTAGAGAGGGTGTTTGTACGAAATATGGGTTGGTGAAGAAAATTAATGGGGTTGAATGGAGAGATCAGTAAGATTTTTTTTTATGATTTTTTTTAATGATTTATTTTAAATAATATTTTAGGAGTATTTTAGTGTACGATCCGAAATCGATGGAAATCAAATCATCCCAACAATACCCGGTTATCCTAACAATAACAGTTAAACCCATGCCGTGGAAAAAATTCGGGTTAAGCTCCCCAGATCAAGAAGAAATCTTAATCAACTTACCCGAATTAATCGAACAAACCAAATTAAACATTCCAAATAAAAATTGTTGGGATTGCGGCGACGAAGCGGCAAATTTCATCTCAAAAATCATCCCGAAACAAATCGAGGGGCTAAGATTGTGTTACCACGATTACTCAAAATCCACCAACACCATTTATCATTTAATCAACAAAAATTCTGTTGAAACTTTGAATAAACAGCTGGAAATTCCCGTTTCGGAGCATTATTTTCGCCCGAATTTCTTCGTTTTTGGGCATCATATACAACCGTGGGAGGAGGAATCTTGGAAGTGGGTTAAAATTGGAGCCGCTGTTTTTAAAAATTTAAAAAGTTGCGAAAAATCCAAAGAAGTTGGGGATGAGAAAACCAAAAAGAAGTAAATCATTTCAAATTTTAATGTATTAATGTTGTTGGTTTTATTTTAGGGTTGAATTGTTGAAGATGAATAAAAAGAATCATTGTTGTGATGGTTGCCCCGAAGTCGGAATTTATTTGGAAACTTATATTGAGGGGATAGTTCACGTCCACGATCAAGTATTTGTTAATTAAGGTTTTTCTCTTTATATATTTTTAATTATAACTCAATAAGATTTATTAAATCAACAAAATGAATGTTTATAAACTCATTTAACTCCTTAATAAGTTAGACAAGGATACAAAAGACTGATAACACTTCTTTTATCGCTTACTCAGTCGTAGTTAAGCGTTCGTGAGTAACGCTTAACAAGAAAATTGAGTTACAATGACCAAAATAAATTATTTCTATTTTTTAAGCATTTTTTTAACATCAACCCTTTGTAAGTATTCGAATTAATCAATTTATTTCATTCTAATCCCATTTAATTAATTAGGTTATGACCTGGATGATATAAAAACCAAAACAAATCCAACAACTCAATCAAACGCAGTCCTTGAATTAATCCAGCGAATAATCCCTGATAGAGCTGAAGATTTCATCGTCGAAGTAAACCCAAATTTAATGCTAAACGGAAAAGAATTATTCCACATCGAATCAGTAACATCAGATAAAATCAAAATAAGTGGAACAACCGGGGTTGTCGCAGCAACCGGATTTAATTACTACCTAAAGTACTATCTAAACAGCCACGTTTCTTGGGAAATTTCCCAACTAAACGTTCCTAAAGTTTTCCCCAAAATCAATTTAACAAACACTTTAAACGATAAGCTTCGTTATTACCAAAATGTTTGCACAACGAGTTATAGCTTCGTATGGTGGAATTGGAAAAATTGGGAAAAACACATCGATTGGATGGCAATGAACTCGTTCAACTTAGTTTTAGCTTTTAACGGCCAAGAAGCCATTTGGAAAAGGATTTACGAAAAATTAAATTTAACACGATCCGAAATTGATGATCAATTCACTGGGCCAGCTTTTTTATCATGGTATTTATTATTTATTTGTATTTGGACAGCGTTATGCATCACTTAACTAAACGACAAATGAATAATGTTTAGTTAACCTCAAGATTAGAATGTCAACCTTAATTTTGACATATTTGTAATCTTCATTAAAAATCCTTTAAAATGAGTACAAACACGACATATTTATCTTTAATATTAATGAAGTTATGGTCAACTTCCGGTTAAAAATGTCAACGTCAATTTTGACATATTTGTAATCGTCGTGGAAAATCCTTTAAAATGAGTCCAAACATGATACGTTTAATTCCAATATTACTCGAGATATAAGCAACTTCCGGTTTAAAATGTCAATGTCATTTTGATATATTCTTAATTTTTATAAACTGTCTTAATATTTGTCACAAAAACAAAAATATTATAAAAAAAAAAACCAAAAAATTAAGGTTGGTATTAATATTTAAAAATTAAATTGGTTGCTAACTTCGGGTTTAATGTTTTTTATTCTAACTTTTTTGTTTTTTTGAGATAAGTGCGTCATGTTTGGACTCATTTTAAAGGTTATTTTGTAAAGATTACGAATATAATGATAAAATTAAAGTTGACATTAACACCAAAGTTTTTTTATTAGCCGTGCGTCGAAAGTCTTTCAAAAAACACCAAAATTATTTTTAGGCGCACGAATAAACCTCAATATTTCTAGTGCTAGGTCGTCCGTCTACAAAGAATCGAGTGTTTTTGCAGCGATTTTTAAATCTGTAATAGAAGAGACAGAGAAAGATATCACTCAATAGAAGTTTAGTTTCAGTAAATAGTCTTCAGCTAGTGGTATTGTAATCTCCAAGCACTTAGTAGTGTTTTGGCAGCAGTATATAGTCTTCTGAAAGCATTAAATAGTTTTTGCCAACAATATCTAGCTTTCTCAAAGCCTTTCCAATAATATTTTAGCATTCTGAAAGTAGTTAATAATCGTTTGAAAACAGTATCTTGTCTTTCCAAGCAAATAATAGTTTCTCCCAGCAGTATTTAGTCTTTTCCAAGCAGATTGTAATCTTTTCCACCAATATCTAGCATTTTGGAAGCAGTAGGTACCCTTTTTAGAGAGCATATCTCTTCTTTCCAAGTAATTATTAGTCTTTTCCAGTAATATCTAACATTCTGGAAGCGGTAGGTAGCTTTTTGGAAAGCATATCTCTTTTCCAAACAATTATTAAAGTCTTTGAAAGCAATAAGTGGTCTTGGAAGCAGTATTCCGCTTGTCCAAGTAGGTCAAAATCTTTAACAGCAGTGTTTAGCGTTCTGGAAGCAATAGGTATTATTTTGAAAACAGTATCTAGTCTTTTCCAAGTAAATTGTGGTCTTTTTCTGCAGTATCTAGCATTTTAGAAGCAGTAGGTAACTTTTTGAAATAGTATGTCCTCTTTCCAAACAGCTTTTAGTCTTTTACTAGCAGTATTTAATCTTCTGATAGCAATAATTAGTCTTTTGCCAACAGTATCTAGCATTCAGGAACCAATAAGTTAAAGAGGGGGTAGGGCAACAGGTATTTTTGGTTTATACATGGTAAACAACGACATTTTAGTCGTTGTGCGTCGAAAATTTAAGAAAAAATCGTATTTCACCCGAAAATATGTGTTTTCACATGATGATTCTTCATGATTCATAAAATGTCAACCTCAATTTTGACATATTTGTAATCTTCATTAAAAATCCTTTAAAATGAGTACAAACACGACATATTTATCTTTAATATTAATGAAGTTATGGTCAACTTCCGGTTAAGAATGTCAACGTCAATTTTGACATATTTGTAATCGTCGTGAAAAATCCTTTAAAATGAGTCCAAACATGATACGTTTAATTCCAATATTACTCGAGATATAAGCAACTTCCGGTTTGAAATGTCAATGTCATTTTGACATATTCTTAATTTTTATAAAATGTCTTAATATTTGTCACAAAAACAAAAATATAATAAAAAAAAATAAAAAATTAAGGTTGGTATTAATATTTAAAAATTAAATTGCTATCTTCATTGTTGCTAACTTCGGGTTTAATGTTTTTTATTCTAACTTTTTTGTTTTTTGAGATAAGTGCGTCATCTTTGGACTCATTTTAAAGGTTTTTTAATGAAGATGATCAATATGTCAAAATTGACGTTGACGTTTCAAACCGGAAGTGATTGTATTTCCATTAATATTAAAGTTAAATATGTCGAGTTTGGACTCATTTCAAAGGATTTTTTATGAAGATTACGAATATAATAATAAAATTAAAGTTGACATTGACAACTGCATTTTTTCTAAGATAATTTACACCTTTACCTACCAAACAGTATGAAAATCTCAAAATACGATAAAATTTCGCTTAATCAAGTGATGTATAACGTGGTCCATTTATACTTAAATTATTTTATTTTAAATTTTAGGGAACGAATGGGAAATATTAAGAAATGGGGTGGCCCCTTATCGCAAGAATTCCATCAAAACTCATTAACCCTTCAAAAACAAATCATAACCCGAATGCGAAATTTGGGAATAATCCCGATTTTACCCGCGTTCTCAGGTTATGTTCCAAAAGCCATTAAAAGAATTTACCCCTCGATTAACATAACGTCAATGAAATGGAATCAATTTAACGAGGATTACCAAGCGTCCCTTTTAGATCCTTTCGACCATCATTTCCAAGAAATCGGAGATCTCTACATGTACGAAATGATCAAAGAATTTGGAACCGATCACGTTTACAGTGCGGATACTTTCAACGAAATCATCCCACCAACGACGAATTTGGACTATATCAAAAGAGCTGGTGAAGCAGTTTACGAAGCGATGATATACACAGACCCAAAAGCGATTTGGGTGATGCAAAATTGGCTGTTTGTGAACGCCTTTCTTTATTGGACCCCAAACAGGGCGAAAGCTTTATTAACTTCTATCCCGATTGGAAAAATGATCGTTTTAGATTTACAATCGGAACAGTACCCGCAGTACGATCGATTTCAAAGTTATTTCGGACAACCATTTATTTGGTGTATGCTTCATAATTTCGGGGGGACTTTAGGGATGTTTGGGTCCCCACAAATTATTAATCAAAAATCGTTTGATGCTAGACGTAAAAATGGAAGCACGATGGTTGGGACTGGGTTAACTCCGGAAGGGATTTTTCAAAATTATGTTATTTATGAATTGATGGCGGAGATGGCGTTTAGACAAAACCCGGTTGATTTAAATTTGTGGTTTAAAAATTATGCTGTTAGGAGATATGGAAAATTTAATGAAGATGCTACTCAATCGTGGATGTTGTTACTTGTAAGTACTTGTAATTATTTAGGATCAACTTGATCAGCAAGGAGAATGATTATGATTAAAACTGTCCCAAATCATTATTAAAATACCTGAAACCCAATTTGTTACAACAAAATTGTGGATCATTTCAAAAATTTATTTTTCGAGAACTGAAAGTGATTTTTCAAAACGGCTTGTTGCATTAAAAAGAGGATACTTTAATTAATAATTGGTGATATTTTCACAAGGATCATTCAATAAATTAATTTTATTGCATATTTTAAAAATTATCGATGAAAATTGCAACATCGAAAATTTTATCAAAACTTCAAATATTGTTTTTTTAAAAACTAAAAGATATTTTTCAAAACGGGTTGGATCATTGGAAAGAGGACACTTTTATTAGCACTTTGGGAAATTTTCATACTCATATTCCAAGAAATGGATTTTATACGAATTTTTAAAACTTAATCGGCGAAAATTGCAAAATTCGAAAAAATTGTCGATTATTTCAAAAATTTATTTCTCAAGAACTAAAAGTGATTTTTCAAAACGGCTTGTTGCATTAAAAAGAGGATACTTTAATTAATAATTGGTGATATTTCCACAAGGATCCTTCAAGAAATTAATTTTATAGCGAATTTTGAAAATTATCGATGAAAATTGCAACATCGAAAATTTTATCAAAACTTCAAATATTGTTTTCTCAAAAACTAAAAGTTATTTTTCAAAACGGGTTGGTTCATTGGAAAGAGGACACTTTTATTAACACTTTGGGAAATTTTCATACTCATATTCCAAGAAATGGATTTTATACGAATTTTTAAAACTTAATCGGCGAAAATTGCAAAATTCGAAAAAATTGTCGATTATTTCAAAAATTTATTTCTCAAGAACTAAAAGTGATTTTTCAAAACGGCTTGTTGCATTAAAAAGAGGATACTTTAATTAATAATTGGTGATATTTCCACAAGGATCCTTCAAGAAATTAATTTTATAGCGAATTTTGAAAATTATCGATGAAAATTGCAACATCGAAAATTTTATCAAAACTTCAAATATTGTTTTCTCAAAAACTAAAAGTTATTTTTCAAAACGGGTTGGTTCATTGGAAAGAGGACACTTTTATTAACACTTTGGGAAATTTTCATACTCATATTCCAAGAAATGGATTTTATACGAATTTTTAAAACTTAATCGGCGAAAATTGCAAAATTCGAAAAAATTGTCGATTATTTCAAAAATTTATTTCTCAAGAACTAAAAGTGATTTTTCAAAACGGCTTTTTGCATTAAAAAGAGGATACTTTAATTAATAATTGGTGATATTTCCACAAGGATCCTTCAAGAAATTAATTTTATAGCGAATTTTGAAAATTATCGATGAAAATTGCAACATCGAAAATTTTATCATAACTTCAAATATTGTTTTCTCAAAAACTAAAAGTTATTTTTCAAAATGGGTTGGTTCATTGGAAAGAGGACACTTTAGGACATCAGGAAAGAGGACACCACTAGTATTAAGTTCCTTTTCAACCATGACGATTGTGATTCATCAGACAATCCTAGGGCAGATTAGTCACTCTTTCTGGACATCTCAAATGATACTCCAGTTTGAATCTGAAATAGACTTAAACACCAAAACTTAATTTCGTTGTTGCCTTTGCAATAATGCTTTTGTTACTTTTGTCATAAACAGTTATCCAGAAATTTTAGACATTTTGCAGAGAACTCGGATTTTGCCAAATTATTTGTACGACTTAAAGGAATCATTAGATTTAAAGAAATTTTTTTTCCAGTCTTCAGTTTATAACTTCCAAGGGCTTCAACGAGTAAGAGGAAAATACACAATGAATATATCCCCAAGCACAAGAATTACAATCAATGTAGGTAGTATAGAATTTAATTTTGCGCTCAAAATAAAACTAAAAATAAATTTTTGAAGTATTGGTACAACCCATGCGATGTTTACCAAGCTTGGAATAACTTATTAAAAGCATCAGATGATTTCAAAGACACTCCAGGTTATAAACATGACCTCGTTGATTTAACAAGACAAGTAATTCAATTAATCGGTGATAACATGTACAAAGAAATAATTTTTGTTTATAAACGAAAAGATACAGAGTCTTTTAAGTAAGATAAAGAAGTGTAAATAGATAATTAGTTTAATTAATAATTTTTAGCAATTCAATTTCAACTTTTCTAACTCTCTTCGATGATTTAGATGATATCTTAGCCACAAACGAAAATTTCTTATTAGGTTCTTGGATAAACGCCGCCAAAAACGCCTCTAATTCTTACAACGAATCGAAATTATTCGAATTTAACGCTAGAAATCAAATTACTCTTTGGGGACCAAACGGGGAAATTAAAGATTACGCTTCTAAACAATGGTCGGGGATGGTTAAAGATTATTTTAAACCCAGATGGAATTATTTCTTAACGGCGATGTTGAAGGCTTTAGAAACTAAAACTCCTTTCGATCAAAACGGGGTTCGCGCAAAAATATTCAAAGAAATCGAACAACCTTTTAGTTTTGACACAAAAAGTTATCCCGAAATCCCTTTCGGAAACACCGTAGAGGTAGCTAAAAGAATTTATAATAAGTGGTGGTCAAAAATAAATTGTTGAATAAATGTAAAATCTTGTAATAATAAATTTGAATAAATTTTAAAAATCAATTTTGTGCCTATCCCACAAAAATCAATACTTCAACCAAATAAAACGTCAAGGTTGTGTTTAACCTCAAATATTAAACCTCAAATTCTAAGTAAATTAACTAAATTATTACAAAAAATGTACCAAAAGAAATAATGTTAGAGATGGCTACATCTACATCGGAAGAAAAAGATGGTGAAAACACACAAGAAAATCCAATATACTGGAAATTAGCCAGAGAAGGAATCTCTTTACTCCTTAATAACAAGCAAAAAGAAGCCGAGGCTTTATTTAAACTTCATCAAGGAGATCTTAACATGGCTACGGGTTATGTTTATGCCGTATTTGTTGTAAATGAAACGATTTAAATTTAATTTATAAATGTTAGATTAAAAGTATTAACTAATTTTTAGGACGCTCTTATGTCGTTTGAAGAAGATAAAATAAAAATTTGTTTGGATAGCATGAAAGAATTGGAAAAGAAATGTACGACACAATGTAGTTCAAGCTGGCTTAAAGCGGTCAAATCAAAGGTTTTTGGAAGCGGTTATGGGTGTACTCAACGCGAGCTTGAGTGTCAAATAATCCTTGCAGATATTCAAGTTTTTTTTGCGATGTTAACGTTTCTCCAACAAGATATAAGCGGGTTTATAAAAGGAACTTGGATTTTAAGGAAATCTTATAAATATTACCAAACGGCTTATAATAACATTTTAGGGGTTTATAAGGAAGTTGTAGGAGATAATAATGTTCCATGTTAATATTATGATTAGAATATATTTAAATTTTATTTTGATTCATTTCCTTTTAGCTGCATCTATGGAAAAAGTATTGGAGATGATTCCTACACCTTCAAACGGTAAATTAATTTCAAATATTAATTTATTAAATACAATATATCTAAATCGGGTTATTCCCCAAGTTGCTTTTTCTATATCCATAGATAAACTAGGGGTATTCCCCGAGTTGTCTATAGGATGTATAAATCAAGCGCGGTAGTTCTACTTTAAGGTTTTTAATAATGTATTATTACCGAGGCAGTAGTTCTAGTTTTTAAAATAAAGTGAATACTAGCTGGAAAGCTAATACTAGCTAATACTAGCACTAGAACTAACACTAGACGTATTTTTATATCAAACGTTACCACATTAATTCTGATTTCTTCAACTGTGCTGTATTTAAGCACCTCCGGCGATGTAATTAGTAAAACAGCGATTAGTTTTCTTTCAGTAGAGTTTTGTTGTTAATGGAAGTAGGTTCCCACTGCCATCTTTAGATTCGGTTAGAGGTTTTTTATGATCTTTTTGTCCTTGGAGGCGGAGTTCTCAGAGAACTAAGTAATAAATGGATTTGGAGACTTCCTTACTGAGGTTGCTGATCTTTGAGACTTCTGAGTTCGGCTTAAAGGTATCAAGTTAGGATTTTTGGTCTTGAGGGTGTTGTGTTGTGTCTTGATGAGTTACCTCCACATCTTATCTCGAAGAGCAGAATTGTCTCGAAAAAATTATGATGATTATCGACAATAGACCTAGAACTAGAAACATTCGGGGTTAGCCGTGAGTCTGTTAAGACGGCTAAATCCGAATGTTTCTACTTCTAGGTGTAGTGATAGTTCTAGTTTAATAAAAATGTACAACAAATCAGCGCTAAATAATAATTAAAACTAGAACTATCTAGATCTAATGTTAGTTCTAGTGCTACTGTTAGTTCTAGTTTTAGTTGTTATTCAGTGCTAGATTGTATATTCTTATTGAACTAACACTAGACCTAGAACGTTTCGGATTTAGCAGTACGTCTTCAGAAGACTTTAGGTCTAGTGTTAGTTTTAGTTTTAATTCTTATTCAGCGGTAGATTGTTTAATATTATTATTGAACTAAAATTAGAACTAGAAGTAGACCTAGATCTAGAAGTAGAATCATTGAGCACTGGCCAAACACCAATGTTTCTAGTTCTAAGTCTAGTGTTGGTTATAACGTTGGATAACAACTAAAACTAGAACTAACACTAGATCTAGAACTAGAAACATTCAGGTTTAGCCGTCTTATGAGACGTGCGGCTAAACCTGAATGATTCTAGTTCTAGATCTAGTGTTAGTTCTAGTGCTACTGTTAGTTTTAGAACTAGAAATATTCCGGTTTAGCTGCCTTAAGAGACGCACGATTCGGGCTAAACCCGAATGTTTCTAATTCTAGGTCTAGTCAAGGTTCGTTGAGTAAACATACTGTATAACCAATACTCAACGAACCTTGGGTCTAGTGTTAGTTCTAGTGCTAGTATTAGCTCTTGTCTTAATTGTTATTGAGCGATTGGTTTCTTTCAGTTGATTTTTATTATTAAGAGAGGAGCTTTTTATTGCAATCCTTCGTGCAGCGTCGTTTATTGTACGAAATATGATTTTTTTGTTCTTGGAGGCGGAGTTCCCAGAGAAGTTGACAACAAAGCAGTTTTATCTTTTCCCACTGGCTTTGAATTTTTCCATAGACTCAACTTGTGATGTATTTGCAAACTTCCTTGCTGAGGTTGCTGATTTTTGAGCAGAGTTGGGCAGTACTCGGGTAAAAATACTCAAAAATGTACTCCGACTACATTTTGGAGTACCCGATATCTGGTACCTAGTACATTGGAATCAATACTCTCTATTAGTACCTGATACCCTCATCGCATATTCGAGTAGATTATTCTCGGGTACTTGAACAAGTTTGAGCTTGTCTGAATTTGCAGAGTTTACTCGCCGTTCAGCATTCAAACAGATTTGTGTTTCTTTCGTCTTATTAGTTATTGAAGTAACATTGAAAAGTGCAAGATGCAAGAATTCGCATGTGGAAGCTCTGTGCCAGTTATGTCTTCCATTAAAAAAGATTATTAAGGGCTCTGCCAAAAGTACGATAAATTTTGTTAAGCGATTGTCATGAACACAAGTGCACCACAAATTAAGCTATGATGACTATCTCAAACACAAGGAGAAATTAAAAGACAGCAAGTTAAAGGGTACTACTTCGAGAATTAGTCTAGTAGGTACAAAATCCAAGCAAAAAAAAATGAGTATCATGAATCCAAAAAGTGTCATCATGCCACCGGTTCAACACCATCCTTCAGCATTTCATACGCCCCCTCTGCCGCGCTTAGTGTTCGGCTCATTATGTTTATGTCGTTCGCATACGCGAAGACCATCCAAGACATCTTTCACTGGTACTCTGGTGAATAGAGATTTCACGTCAAAACTTACTAGCATATCCTGAGGTTCTAGCTTCATACTCCTAATTGATTCTACAAAATGTGTGGAGTCTCTGACATATGACTGTTTTACTTGTAAAAGGAGACAGAATCTTGGAAATGTGTTTTGCTAGCTGATAGGTGGGAGAATTTATGGCACTGACAATAGGGTGTAGTGGGACGTCTGGTTTATGGATTTTGGATATATTCTTGGTGGTACTGGATCTGCTGGGATTTCTCGGTTGGGTCCTTTTTTATTTTCTTACAGATGGCTGGGCCCAAAAGGCTCTTGATTTTTTTCGTTCATTGTTAAGTTTGATTTTGGTGGCTTCTATGTCTTGACGAATTTCTTCTGCTTTCACTATAATTTCTTCTTTAGGCACCCTTTGTACTTATAAAACTTTAAAGTGTTATAATTTCGTAAATAATTAAAATAGCACATATGTTCATTAACATTTTTTTTTGTAATTGGATTAGCTATATGTCAAAGTTTGATGGTGAGCTAATAAATCACCTCGGCAGCATAGCAGCCTCGTCTTCTAAGGAATGTATTTATATTAAAGAATACTTACATTACATTACATTACATAGAATACATATCGGGTAGGCGGACCAACCAACCTTGCACCGCGACCCTAAGGATCTATTGTACCCCGATAGATATCGTTATCAAATTTCACCGTGCAGTCCAATGCTCTTAACGAACATTAATACCTTGCTCGGCGAAAGGTCATTCAGATCTTTTGAGGAGATAAACTGCGACCCAAAAATCGAGAATCTGATACGGTTAACGGCAGGGCAGTGGCATAAAACATGCTCAACCGTCTCTGCTTCCTCCGCACATAGTCGGCATTCAACATCGTCGGCTAAACCCAACAAGTTGAGGTGTGCTTTTAATCGGCAGTGCCCAGTAAAAACACCCATTAGAACTTTTATGCTACTACGGGCAAGTCCTAAAATATTCCCGGGTTTGACAGTGGCGATGTTAATAAACACCTTAGCATGTCTCATTCCAGGAGAACTGGTCCACAGTAGGCGAAGTCTCTCTTCAGCCCACAGTCCAATCCTATATTTGGCCATCGCAAATGATACACCAACTGCTGGTTCCGGTCCCACAAACGCTTCAGCGCTGCCATCTCGTGCTAGCTTATCTGCCGCTTCATTGCCAGCAACCCCAGAGTGACCCGGGACCCAGATCAGAGAGACTCTGTTATCACAACTCAGTGTGTTTAATGTTCTCTTACAATTATTAACCAGAGCCGACACCGTTTTCACGGCTTACAGCGCCTGGAGAGCGGCTTGACTGTCTGAGAAAATTCGTACTGTCATGTTCTTCACCCCTCTTTCAAGAAGGATTTTAGCACCCATGTCAATAGCAAATACTTCCACCTGGAATACAGTACACAACATACATGTAAGTCAAAATTTTGCATGGCGCGTATTGAACCGCGAAGTCCTTCATCCGTAGCCTGCATCTACAGCCAGGAGATAATCAGCAACGGCTAGCATTTTGTGAATGGTTATTGCAGCAACATGTTCAAAAAAATGACTTCATTTCAAATGTTCTTTGGACCGATGAATCATGTTTTACACGAGATTTGAGAAGATGGTCGGCTGAGTTCCCAACCATCTTCTCTATTCATGTTATTCCCATGTCGATGAATCTCTATCGCCTCTTTCGTCAATCTTTAGAAGTAATGTCCGTCTCTTGCTAGCACTTTGGCTTTGTCGAACTCTATGCTGTGTCCTCCTTTGTGGCAATGCTTTGCGACTACAGATTGTTGGATCTTCCTTACTCGGACGTCCCTCTCGTGTTCCTTGATGCGGCACTCGATGTTGGGCCAACGTAATATTTCCTGCAACTGCACGATAGCCTCCCTTTAATGAGTTTAGTTTGACTTTGACTATCGGAAGAGGCAAGACCAGATAAAACCGGCTGGTGTCGTACTTACCGAGTCATCCTTCTGTTTGCGTGGTTTGGTGGCTCGTCGGATATCAGCACCTTTCTTCTTTTCTTCGGTTCTTTTTATCGCATATCCTTTCTGCTCGCTGAAATAAAGCTTGAATCACGAACCTCTTCTGTTGTGGGTGGTGGTGGGATGAAGCCTGCAGGTACCTATTCGTATACGTCTTCTTTCGATATACTCCTAGTTCCATGCCCCCATCTGTCTTCCTAGTGACTAACACATCCAGGAAAGGCAACTGTTTTGCAAGTTCTGGAGTTGCTTTTTTCCATGTTGCCAGATCACGAAAGTGTCATCGACGTAACGGAGCCATAGCTTCGGACTCTTTTTTAACGCTTCCTCTTCAAACATTTCCATGTAAAAATTGGCTATCACATGAGACAGAGGTGATCCGATGGCTGCCCCTTCGCATTGCTCGTAGAATTCCCCCTTCCAGCTGAAATATGTCGACTATAGGCAGTAATCCACTAGTCCTGGGACATACTTGGGCAAAACCTTCGGGATGAGTCTGGCGAAGACCATCCACGGCATCTTTCACTGGTACTCTGGTGAATAGAGATTTCATACTCCTAATTGATTCTACAAAATGTGTGGAGTCTCTGGCATATGACTCTGTTTTACTTGTAAAAGGAGACAGAATCTTGGAAACGTGTTTTGCTAGCTGATAGGTGGGAGAATTTATGGCATAGTGGGACGTCTGGTTTATGGATTTTGGCTAATCCATATATCCTTGGTGGTACTGGAGCCTGTACGAATAAGCTTTTCTGTTGATTTGCTGGGATTTCTGTTGGGTCCTTTTTTATTTTCTTACAGGTGGCTGGGTCCAAAAGGCTCTTGATCTTCTCGTCGTATTCCCTTCTATCCATAACCACGGTCGCATTCCTCTTGTCCGCTGGTAGGATGATAATGTCTGGTTTTTCCCTTATCGTTCTTAGTGCTCTTCTTTTGTTCATTGTTAAGTTTGATTTTGGTGGCTTTGCTGTTTTAAGCACTCTCGCTATGTCTTGACGAATTTCATCTGCTTTGTACTTATAAAACTTTAAAGTGTTATAATTTCGTAAATAATTGAAATAGGACATATGTTCATTAACATAGCACGGCCTCGAAGTAGCCTCGGTAGCAAAGCTGCCTCATCTTCTAAGGAATGTATTTGTATTAAAGAATACTTTACATTATTTTAAATACTAAAGCCACTGCCTCGATTTCTAAGTGTGAAGACGCCTAAACTTGAATAGCCTTCCCCGTATTAATCCGTTATATCGAGGTTTTAATGTAATTTAAAATTTAATGTAGATTGCCCAAGAACAGTGGAAGAAATACTGGTTGAATTAGCCTCCGAGATGGAAAGAAAAGACCCAATTGATGTAGAAAAAATGGATTCAAACATCGATAAATACCAAAGTATAACAATAGTAACCACATCTATTGGAAGTGTGAAGAATAGTCTTACAGATCTTCACCAGTTGAGTCCAGAACCGTCCCAAATGGCCCCAACATTTTCAAAGGCATCAACGAGGAAATTTCAAAACGGGTACATCCCTTCAACTTCTACATCGCGTCCAAAGCCCAGCATCTCTTTTCACTCAGGTTTAAAGAACGGTTATGTCACATCCGAGTTTAACAGAAATGTTGAGGCTTCCGACATCAAATTTCGCCCAAACATGAAGAAATCAACTTCCGCTAATAGCGGTTTAGGTGGTAAATTCAGTTTCAGACCAACTTCTTATTTCAACTTTCCTTTCGACGTTTTCAACGTTGATAAGGTGTAAGTAAATAATTTTTGGAATGAAATCGTGAATGGCAAAATCAAAAATTTAATGCTAAATTAATTAAAATGTATTAATTAAAAATCGTATTTAGCGAAGATTTGGATAAAGACACAATAACCCGTTTACTTTGCGCGGTTTCTTTCGGTTACGGGCTCCTTCAACTTGGCATCTCACTCCTTCCACCGACAATAATGAAATTGGTAAATTTCTTGGGGTTTGGAGGCAACAGAAAGCAAGGTATCGAAAATTTAATGTACGCGAGGAAAGGTGACGATTTAAGAGCCCCATTTGCGACGTAAGTGATTAAAAAGATCGTTTTAACGTAACTAAAATTACTTCTTAGTCTATCTCTGCTGTGGTACCACACAATAGTGAGACCGTTCTTCGCGTTAGATGGCACCAATGTTCAAGCAGGGGTTCAAATTGCAGCCGAATTAATCGAAGAGGGTAAAGATGAGTTTGAAGAATCGGCCCTATTTTTATTTTTTAGAGGAAGAGTCGAAAGATTAAGAGTAAAATAATTTTTTTTTATTAATTATTTCTTAAAACGATTGTTTTAGGCCGAAATTCCTAAAGCAATTGAAACTTACCAAGGTGCTATAACAAACGCGGCACAAAAAGAAATCAAATTAATGTCAATGCATGAAGTGGGTTGGTGTTATTTGATTGAGTTAAACTTTCCTTCATCAGAAGTATCATTTCAATATTTAAAAGATCAAAGCAGATGGTCAAAATCGTTTTATTCCTATCTTTGCTTAATTAATGCTGGGGCAAATCAACAATTTCAGGAAGTAGAGAACCCTGTTGAGTTAAGAAACGTTTTCCCACCGGTCGTTAAAGGTACCCAATTGGATGAATTTTTAACAAGGCGTTACCGTATATGCCCGTTGGAACAGGAAGTTCTTAAAGAATTAAATTTCGTGTTTTGGAAGATTCTAACTTACGAATTATTGTATCTTTGGAACACTTTACCAAGTTGTAACCATCAAAATATTAATCGAATCATTCAGGATTGCCATGAAGCTTGGAATATTCAAGTTGAACCATTTATGGGACTAACTAGATTAATAGCAGGAAGTTGCCACATTCTTTTAGGAAACAATGATGAAGGTGTTCAATGTTTTCGCGAAGGAATTGAAGCTAGAAACAGTTTAAGCACTAATTGCGAGGATGCCCATGTTTCAGCTTTCACCAAATACGAATTAGGATTGGTTTTAATCAAAAACCCTTTAGTAAGAAAATCAGTGAAAACAGTTTTAATGCGAATGTAATTCTTATTTACCTTAATTAGACACTAGCAGAAGGAAAGCGATACTTGGAATCTGCATCTAATTATAAAGGATACGATTTCGAGCAGAGATTAACCGTCCGTACCCATGCCATACTTAAGAAATTATAAATTTCTATCGAAAATTGGGATGTATTTTTGCACCGAGATTTGAACATCATTTTTAGAATTAGACCCAACACTTGTATTTATTAACGATTTTTTATGGCAATTAAAATTGTATTGAACTGTTATTTATTATTTTATAACCTAAAAATTAAGCTGTCAAAATCATGTAGCAAACTTCACGCTACATTTAATTAATTTCGAGATTTCTTTTTTTTTATTATTTTTAGCAATAAAATTAATAATTATTTCGATTTAATTTCAATTATTCTTAAAATTAATTAATTTTCTAAAATTAATATTCATAATTCATAACGTATTCATCCCCACCCCTTTCGCAATTGACATTTGACAGATGTCAAATTAAAGGATAGAAATGGCTGTTTTCGCTGCTGCTCAGCTTTTAGACGAATTAATGGGGCGCAATCGAAATGTGGCCCCCAACGAGAAAGTGAAAGAGTTAAATTGGGAGGACCCCGAGGTGAATAAAACATTTTTTTAATTTTTTTCGATATAAATCAATTTTTTTTGCAGTATTGCAAATACTACCTAGTGAAATTTTGTCCCCACGATTTATTTGTAAATACCCGAGCCGATTTGGGTTCTTGCGCAAAAGTCCACGACGAGGAAGCTCGAAAAATGTTTAATCAAGCGAAAACCCACCGAAAAATCCATTACCAAGAAGAATTCATCCGATTTTGTACATCAATGTTAAACGAAGTGGAGCGAAAAATTCAAAAAGGGAAACAAAGACTAGCACTGAGCGGGAAAGGAGAATTAAATAACTTAATTCCAGCACAAAATCAGCGTAATTCCGAACAAATCGATTTGTTAACTGAGCGAATAAATGGGTTGGTGGAAGAAGCAGAACAAGCGGGAACTGACGGAAATGTTGAACAAGCACAAGGTTTAATGAAATTGTGTGATCAATTAAAAGAGGAACGGGACGCATTGCAAAAACAGGGCGAAAGCAATCATTGGAGTACTGCAGAGATCGCTGCAGCTCAAGAAAAGCAAATGGAAGTGTGTGAAGTTTGTGGAGCCTTTTTGATCGTCGGGGACGCCCAACAAAGAATTGATGATCATTTAATGGGTAAACAACACGTTGGGTAAGTAAATAATTTAAATCAAATAAAAACAATTAATTTTTGTATCAATTCAGATATGCTAAATTAAAATTAGCCACTGAAGAAATCACCTGTGTTGTTCAAACTGCAAGGGAAGAGAGGCGAGGAGCTCGTTCTGGGGGATTAGGTTCCACACCAACTGTTGATGATAGAAGAGATCGAACTCGAGATAGGGATAGGGAGAGGAGTCGAGAAAAAAATGATCGATCAGAGCATAGGTAAAGTAGGATTAAATTAAAACCAAGAAAAATCTTTTATTTTAAATTAATTAAAACACTTTTTACACTAAATTTTATTATTAAATATAAAACTTATGCCAAATTATTGAATTGAATGAAGATACTGAAAATCTTCTTGCAACAAACTTTTAAATTCAATTATTGTAGATAAATGAAATGATAGGTTGAAATGACCAGTAAAATTCTCAAGTCTAATTTCGTTATGTCAAGGTTATTAAAAATCAAATACTCTACTAAAATTTAGGAATGTTTCTTACAAATTTTGGAACTAAATAAGATAAATCTTCCTAATTCATTTATCTTATACTAATAATAATAAAAATTAATTATCCCACTAAAAGAACACTAGGGATCATAAAAGAAATGTTAAGGACTGAATTATTCAAACTTTGCTTTAAACAAAATGTTTGCAGTTTTGATAATAAAATTTATAAATATGAAGAGGGTCTGCCTTCAGGTCAATAAACAATCTATACAGTTTTTCCTCCTTCGTGTTCAACTTCCTATCTACCAAGTGTTTCAGAATGTATATATTATCAATTTCCCCCTCTCCATTTCTTCTTCCAACCTCCCCAGCAGTATCTTTGCATAAATTTTGAAACCCTCTATAATTGCTCACCACCCTTTTACTTCCCTTTTTATACACTGGGCATATTATCCCCATCCTCCACCTATCTGGAAACCTCTCCCCCCTCCATACGTCGTTTATTACCTTCCATAGTTTCTTCATCTCCAACCATGCCTCATTCTGGATCTCATCCTCTCTTGGCGCCCTTCCCCTCTTCAGTCCCCTCAGCACTGCCTCCATTTCTTCCAGTGTTATCTCTTCTCCTCCTTGCACCCCTCGCTTTCCCTCTTCCACCCCTCCCAACAATCTCATGAAGTAGGTTCTCCATTCAGGCATTTGTATTGTATATCTCTGCTGACTTCCTCTCTTCCCTTCCTCATCCTCTTTAAGTATCTCCATACCTCATTTTCCTCTTTCAACTCCTTAATCTTCTCAGCCTCCCTTTCCTCTACATTTATTTTTACAGTTTCTAATAGAAAATTTATTTTAGAAACTTTTATTACTCTTAGATAATATTGATAAAAATCACCGTTTTCCTGTTAAATGCAAAAATGTTAGGTTCCGATTTCAATAACACTAAAAAAAAAAAGTCTAAGTCGGTCATGACAAGTGAAAATCGAACTGAGCCGTCATAAATATTATGTATGTAACATTTCCAAGTGTAGATTAGGTAAATCCCTTTTTAATTTGTTTTAGTTGATTTAATAAAAGATAATACAAAACAAGAAATTTAATTTTAACGACAACGCTACCAGGAAAAATAAAACAAATACATCAAATAACAAGACAAGTAATAAAAAATACTATAGGACATGTTCAAAAAGACCTCCGTTAGCATCAATACATGCCTGATATCGTCGCCTTAAATTAAATCGTACTCTATTCAGTACATTTATCTCGGTTCCAATTTGGTTGAATGAATCGACGATTCGTAGCCTGAGCTGATCGACTGATCTAATTTCAACGCTGTAGACCAATGATTTAACTCGCCCCCATAAATAAAAGTGCATAGGTGTAAGGTCTGGTGACCGGGCCGGCCAAGTTATCGATGCTTCCGCTCCTCGTCCGATCCACCGTCCCGGGAAACGGTTCCCTAAAAATTCCTTCACTGCATTTGTGCTGTGCGCAGGGGCACTATCATGTAATGTCCCATATCACATGTCCCTTCTGGTATTTAACGGAACGTCACCTAAGAACTCGTCCAATCCTTCCAAATGTTGATGGTATGTAGGGCCATCAAGTCTTGGCGGCAAGAAAACGGGACCAACAATGACATCCCCACAATCCTAGCCCAAACATTGAGAGAAAATCTCCATTGAGATTTCCAAGTTTTGAAAAATTTTGGATTTTCTTCAGCCCAACTATGTAAATTCCTTAAATTAATTATTCCATCTTTGGAAAAAGTAGATTCATCGGTGAAAAGTATTTTTTCTAAAAACTGATTATCAATTTGTATTTTCTGTTGCATTTTCTGGCAATATTCCAATCTAATTGGATAATCGGTAAGCTGTACTTCCTGAACCTTACAGCAGTGAAATGGATAAAGCTGCTGCTCTCGAAGAATACGCCACACAGTCGTTTTTGACGTCCCAAATCGCCTAGCCATGTCCGAAGTACTAGTGGTACTATTTTCTTCTGCATGTTCTAAAATTAACTCTTCCAATTGAGGAGTTCGAACAGATCTAGGGTTGCCGTTGTTCAGAAAGATATGTTTTAGTGATCCATTTTCTCTTAATCGGGCTTCAATTCGAGAAAACGTTTTTCTGTTGGGGGTTCTACGATTCGGGAATTTTTGCCGATAACGGTTAGCGGCTGCTACGGAATTTCCAAGACATTCACCCAATGTTAAAAGCATATCGGTTTGTTCTCCAAACGTGTAATTTTCCATTTCGAACACTACAAGGTTTTTAGTATTTGTTTAAACGACTAAGCGTGTTTACAACTGTCAATGAATTCGTTTGTTAATTGTCATGGCAGACTTAGACTTTTTTTTTAGTGTTATTGAAATGGGAGCCTACCATTTTTGCATTTAACACGAAAACGGTGATTTTTATCAATATTATCTAAGAGTGATAAAAGCTTCTAAAATAAATTTTCTATTAGAAACTGCAAAAATAAATGTAGGGTTACGATCGAACAAAAAAGTTCTCAGCAAACAAATTTTAGGGACTCCCTGTATAGCATGGTTGCCGCCGCCCAATCAAAGTCAAAATTAGTTCAATGATTTTGCTTGATATTTGTTTACCCTGTACCAAATTTCAATGCTCTACCATAAATGGTATTGAAAATATTTGAATCGGTTATTTCGAAAAGGCCACATCTCCATGTTTTTACCAAAAATAGTTAAACACAGAAATTGATTCAAAATATGCTTTAAGCTTTGTTACATGCGAAAACGCCGCAAACTTCACTCTTCGTTAATAAAATCCATGTCGGTGTTGTTCCCTGTTTACTTTGAAAAGGCCACATCTCCGGACAAGTGGCGTTTTTTAGTCAAATGTACGCGTACCGACCGAACAGCTGACTGCCATATCGATGCAGTTTTCTGTGATCTTGATCGTATTTTTTAGTTTATGTTGCATTGTTTATATAAAAATGAGTAGCTCTGACAGTGAAAATAGTGACAATATTGAAAATTGTAAACAAAAGAAGAGAAAGAAGGGCATTATTAACCGTTCCGAGTATAAAAGTGAAGTTATTAAGAAAGCTAAAGTAAAAGCTGAGGCACATATTAATCATGTTGGAAAAAAGGTTATGGCACGACAAACTGGAATCGACTGTACTTGTCGTAAACAATGTTGTGAAAATTATTTAGAATTAGATAGAATCGCTTTGTTAACATCTTTGCATCAGTTTGATGATGAAAACTCTCAAGACTCCTACTTACAAAGTTTGATAGAAGCAAAACCTGCCAAAAGAAGTAGAAAATCTCAAAATGCCAAGAAGCATATTGAGAGACCCAATAATGTTCTGTTTCATGTTTGTTTGAATGGAATTCGTAAGCAGGTATGTTAAAAAGCTTTCTTGAGTTTATATGGCGTTTTTGAAAAGCATGTTAGACGATTATGTCATCTACTAATTTCTGGAACTACTCCAAGAGACAATAGAGGTAAATCTGTAAAATCTAGACATAATTTAATACCAGGTGAGCTATGCTTGCAAATAAAAGAACACATAGAATCGTTTGATGTTAAGGAAGTACATTATTCGAACAATGTATTAAAAAAGTACTTGCCTGCTACTTTGGATATTCAACAAATGCATAATATGTTTATGAAAAAGTTTCCTGATTCAAAAGTGAAATACGGTTTTTATTTGAAATATTTGCATGAAAATTTTACTTATACTTTTGGTCGCCCTCAACTTGACGTATGTTCGGCCTGTGAAGAACTTGGTCAGAAAGTTAAAAGTACAACTCTCAATGACAATGCAAAAAGAGTTGCTACAGCAGAACTCTTAGTTCACAAAAACAGGGCTAAGAAATTCTATAAAAAACTACAACACATCAAGAAGCTCTCTGTAGAGAAAGAGGAAATATTGGGAATCACAATGGATTACATGCAAAATTTACCTATACCACACATACCTGTACAGGAAATTTTTTACTATCGACAACTATGGGTTTTTGAATTCAGTATACATAACTTAAAAACAGGAGCGGCTAAATTTTACTCTTATCATGAGGGCGAGGCGCACAAAGGACCCAACGAAGTGTGCACTTTCTTGAAACATTATTTTGAGAATGAAGTTTCTGAAAATATAAAAGAAATTCATATATTTTCAGATGGATGCGCTGGGCAAAATAAGAATCACACAGTAATACGTTTCCTTTCGGCTCTCGCCTCCACAGAAAGATTTAGAAAAATTTTCCACTATTTTCCAATCAGGGGTCATTCATTTCTTCCAAGCGATAGAGACTTTGGGGTAGCAAAAAGGCTTATTCGCAAGCAAGATCGAATATTTCTTCCTGAAGAATATTTTCAGCTAATAGAAAAATCCTCAAAAAAATCTCTGTTCTCAATAAAAAGGGTTGATAATGAAGAAATTTTGGACTTTAGGGAATGGTGGCCCAAGTACTATAAGAAAACCACTCTGTCAATCGATTCCTACGGGAAAAAAGCTAGAGATGAAAAGAAGACTTTTCAAATTTCTCAGTACAATGAGTTCGAATATGATTGCACAAAACCTTCATCGATGGGCTTATTTTCTATGAATTTTCATTTGGAAAACCATCTGGAGTTTGTCCTCCTCTACCATCAAAGACACTGCTAAAATCGCTAAAAATTACAAAAAAATGGCCAATCTAAAGAAACTTGTGCAGTATGTACCAGAAGACAAAAAATTTTTTTATGATGAGCTGATTTTATGGCCTACTACTAATAGTGATGAACCGCCAGAAGAGGATTATTAAATACCATTAAGTATTTCTTAACTGTAAAATCTTTTTTTTTATCTAATAAATTTTTTTATTAACAGTACTTAAATTTTTTTAATCATCAATCATGAAACCACCAATATTTGTTTGGAAAAGGCCACAACTCCAAATACAAAAATTTGTTTAATTGCGCATTAGATTTATTTTAAAATTTTTTTTGTTTATAAAACTTTCACATGTATCATAATTTAGGTCTTTGTTCTGAAAAGAAATCGATATTCTGACTAATACCAAAATGAAACGTTTTTTTGTTCTCCTGTAAAATTTACTTTTTTGGAGTAGTGGCCTTTTCGAAATAACCGATTCATTTAGAAAAATGTGTTAAAATTTTTGAACTTTGATGGCCCATATCTTGGCCATTTGAAGACTTTTATAATAAATTTTTTTCACCAATTGTCATCATTTTTGCTCTAGTATATGAGGTTAATTTTATTCCCCGAGTCACCGGAACACCCTGTAGAGGTAAATTACTTTAAATCATCTTAATTTGTTGTCCTCTACATGTCCCCGCTCTGTGTCGGTTCTTATGTGAATCACCCTGTATATCGGGTCACAAATAGAATATTATGAAATTTGAACACAGAATCAAGAATAAACACAAATATACAAGAATATTATACGCCAATATAACCAACGAAAATATTGTGTGCAATTTACGGCGATTTTTCTCATTATATTACAGAGCAATTAAATTACAGATTTCTAAATTACCGTACATTTTTGTACGATTTTTAGTTGTATTTCAGTAAAAATAGACAAAAATTTAGCTTAAAAATGTAATTACATCGTTAGAATGCAAAAAGTGGTTTAATGAATTGAAATTATTTTAGGTCAGATAGAGATATTTCAAAAATAAACGGTGAATCCCGCGATTGGAGAGATAAAGAGGAAAAAAGGGACCGTTACGATAGGAATCGAAGATCGCCGGATCGCGAACGAGACAGATTGGAACGAAGGGAAAGAGATCGATCGGAAAATGGAAGGGATAAAAAGGAACGGAAAGAAAAGGATCGCCGGGAAAGAGATCGAGACCGAAAACATCGCTCTGATCGAGATTCAGGTTTAAAATTAATTGAGATTTTTATTTCAAATTTAATTTAATTTTTAATTGATAGGAAAAGACCGATCTTCACGTCATTCGCACAGGCGTTAATGGTATACCCAATATAGTGCAGTAAGAATGGAACAGTGCAGGTAGGTGGCAACGATTTTACGCTAAACCTCGTTTCATTACAGGTGTTTTTATAAAAAAAATAAAAATTTGCAACCAGGTTAGTGATCTCACCTAATAATAATTTTCGAATAAGAATAACCTTTATTCTGCCTTTAATAATAATTATTCTTGTGTGATATATTTCAATTAAGTATAATTTTTTTGTGTATTTAATTAACGAGAGGTTGGTGGTTAAAAAATATTTATTTAGGAATTCATTAAGAATCATTATCAATAATCACTTAATTCTTTTTATAATTTTTATTTAATTAATTAAATTAATGAATTAAATTTAAAAAAGTGATTGTTGATGAGTTAATAAACTTTTTGTTGATTAATTTACCATTTGAAATACTGGAACGAGTAGTTGGAGGTATTATTGTAAAATTGATGTTATTGAAATTACTTGACGATGAATTTTTTTAAGTAGCGATTGCAGCAGTCCGCTAAAGGCGTACCTAAGAGGCTGTTGTTTGCTCGTTACAAGCCGGCCGCTCGCTCATTCAGAGAGGTATTTATGCTTTTTAAGTGACGGATTCGGGACCTTCTACTTCTTTTACAGTTTTTCACAGAGTTCTATATCGGCTCTGTATTATATTGTCGTGTTTATTATATGAGTTTGCCGCACACTGCGTGTTCATTCGAGGTATTTATATATAAATACGAGTCTTTAAATGAAAGAGACGCAATCATTTTCAAATAAAGCATCATAATTTTCATTATTTTATTAATTAATCATTATATTGTAAAATTGATGCGTTGAAAATGGTTGTTTATACGCAGATATGGGAGAGATGAATTGTGAATATGTCTTTACCGATTTTCTGAGTCAACTGTCGTGTTTTTCTGATGCCATTGGATCTATTGCAGTTCAGCAAAACAGGTGAGCGTTCAAGAGTATAGTTGATTCAATGTCCCCGTGGATGTGAGGAACCCAAATTCTTCTAACGCCAGGTGACTTAATCTATAATAATATATTAAATAGACCCGGCTTTCGATATTCCTTAGGAAATAAGAGTGTTATGTAAAATCCGTAGTAGTTTTGCGGTTTAAATAAATTAATATTAATAAAATGTTTTCTTAAAAAATAGGATTATTTTTATGTCGCCTTGGTGAATCTCACAAATAAAAACGCAATGAAAACGTTGGTAGGCTTTTTTATTGTTTTCTTGAGTTTGTATTTATGACCTTATAACCAAGTATCCTATTTTTAAATCCAACATAATACTTTATTGCATCAAAAGAGTTTTACACAACTACCTGAGATACCTGAGCTTCTGGGACCACCTCCAAAGCATTTTTGTCCTTGCCACAGATAAAATGAGATGGATTTAAAGAAACTCTTGAACGACTCCATTGAAAGAAGGGAAGTCAAAATATAAATAATTATTATTCTATCGATCAGTAGTACCAACCCAACTCAAAAATAAAACCAAATTTTGATGTTTTTGAACATTTTCGGTTATAAGTTATTAATTGTGCATGATGGAGAATTATTTTTTAAACAAAAAATGTTTAGAATTGACTCATAAGACGTACTAAATAAAGATATTTATTCCATCAATCAGCATTACCAACCCAACTTAAGAAAAATAGAAATTTTGACGTTTTCATCAATTTTCTTTTATAACTCATTAGTTATATGATGGAAAACAACTTTTCATACAAAAAAGATTTAGAAGTAATCCATAATATATATGCAATAAGTTATTTTATTCCATCGATCAGTAGTACCAACCCAACTCAAAAATAAAACCAAATTTTGATGTTTTTGATCATTTTCGGTTGTAACTTATTAATTGTGCATGATGGAGAATTATTTTTTAAACAAAAAATGTTTGAATTGACTCATAAGATGTATTAAACAAAGATATTTATTCCATCAATCAGCGTTACCAACCCAACTTAAGAAAAATAGAAATTTTGACGTTTTCATCAATTTTCTTTTATAACTCATTAGTTATATGATGGAAAACAACTTTTCATACAAAAAAGATTTAGAAGTAATCCATAATATATATGCAATAAGTTATTTTATTCCATCGATCAGTAGTACCAACCCAACTCAAAAATAAAACCAAATTTTGATGTTTTTGATCATTTTCGGTTGTAACTTATTAATTGTGCATGATGGAGAATTATTTTTTAAACAAAAAATGTTTGAATTGACTCATAAGATGTATTAAACAAAGATATTTATTCCATCAATCAGCGTTACCAACCCAACTTAAGAAAAATAGAAATTTTGACGTTTTCATCAATTTTCTTTTATAACTCATTAGTTATATGATGGAAAACAACTTTTCATACAAAAAAGATTTAGAAGTAATCCATAATATATATGCAATAAGTTATTTTATTCCATCGATCAGTAGTACCAACCCAACTCAAAAATAAAACCAAATTTTGATGTTTTTGATCATTTTCGGTTGTAACTTATTAATTGTGCATGATGGAGAATTATTTTTTAAACAAAAAATGTTTGAATTGACTCATAAGATGTATTAAACAAAGATATTTATTCCATCAATCAGCGTTACCAACCCAACTTAAGAAAAATAGAAATTTTGACGTTTTCATCAATTTTCTTTTATAACTCATTAGTTATATGATGGAAAACAACTTTTCATACAAAAAAGATTTAGAAGTAATCCATAATATATATGCAATAAGTTATTTTATTCCATCGATCAGTAGTACCAACCCAACTCAAAAATAAAACCAAATTTTGATGTTTTTGATCATTTTCGGTTATAACTTATTAATTGTGCATGATGGCGAATTATATTTTAAACAAAAAATGTTTAGAATTGACTCATAAGACGTATTGAATAAAGATATTTATTCCATCAATCAGCATTACCAACCCAACTTAAGAGAAGTAGAAATTTTGACGTTCTCATCAATTTTCTTTTATAACTCATTAATTATATGTGATGGAAAAAACTTTTCATACAAAAAAGATTTAGAATTAACCCCTAAAACATATCCAATAAGTTATTTTATTCCACCGATCAGTAATACCAACTCACCATAAAAATATAACCAAATTTTGATGTTTTTGATCATTTTCGGTTATAACTTATTAATTGTGCATGATGGCGAATTATATTTTAAACAAAAAATGTTTAGAATTGACTCATAAGACGTATTAAATAAAGATATTTATTCCATCAATCAGCATTACCAACCCAACTTAAGAAAAATAGTAATTTTGACGTTTTCATCAATTTTCTTTTATAACTCATTAATTATATGTGATGGAAAAAAACTTTTCATACAAAAAGGATTTAGAATTAACCCCTAAAACATATCCAATAAGTTATTTTATTCCATCGATCAGTAGTACCAACCCAACTCAAAAATAAAACCAAATTTTGATGTTTTTGATTATTTTCGGTTATAACTTATTAAAAGAGAATGACGTTCAAGAGAAATTTCGGGTTGATTATTGCCCTTCTCTACAATTCGAAGAATGACCTTCCTATTTTCACGTTTTATTTTCATTTTGTTGAAGTCTAATCGCAATCTTAACTCCATCGCAACATACTCCCAAAATTTATGATATTCATGATCATAAATAAGTAAGGTTGAATAAAACACAATAAAAACTTCATAATACTTTTTTTATTGTTCTCTTAACAGATCGTTCGGTCAACGAAAAATCTCCCCTACTTTAATTACAGTAATTTACAATCGTTTATCATGTAAGCTTTACACTGTGTATTTTTCACCTATAAGTTGATCGTTTAAAGTCCTACAATCAGCAACAAAATAAATTACGACCCGCGATATTAAGAAGAACTTTATTTTAAACCGTGGATCGTAATTTCGTTTTACACCTTTTTAATCTCTTCAATCATTTTTGTTTTTTTTTTGACTACGTTTCTCTCACTATAAGACAGATTTTCTTAAAGGCACGGGTAGATAGAGAGAGAGATAGAGAGAAAGAAGAGTGACAGTGCTACGGTATTTTTTTTTTTAATTAAATTTATCCTTTTTTGTTGGTCTACGAGTAATTCGGTCTGATCTAATTCTATGAAAGGGACTAAAATATCACAGACTGTCCCTAAAGTAAAACAGAATAGCTCTCGTTTTGACATTTTTGATTTTTACGTTTCTTAAATGAGATTCGTCTTGTTATAATTTTTTTTTTAATATTCTTGTTAAAACTTGTTTTGTCTTTATTCAATGAATTTTTATTTAATCTTTTTTTTTTTCGGAAGGCTATATTAGATTGTCAGTTATTAATTTTTTCTAGTTTTAAATATTTGTTTCCCTTTTTTTTAAGTTTTATTTATTTTAATTATTATCAATTCGTTTTAAGTTTCTTTTTTTAATTTTAATCAAATCCTTTTTGTTTAAATGTAGTTGTGGCATCGACTCCAAAATTCGCATCTTTATTTTTAATATTGTCGAGTATTTTGATACCAATTGACGATAAGATTTTATGTTCTTCTTGATTGTATGTTGTTTTTGTCGCCGATAATATTCTTTTTTTTTTCATTCTGAGGAATTTTCGGGAAAATGAGGTAGACGACAAATCCAAAAAATGAAAAAGAACCGCTTCTTTGTAACGGTTTCTAATAAAAAAGAGTAATTTACTCTACCTGTGACCTATCTAATAATAGTATACAATTTAAAGTGAGATTTACGTTTTTCTTTTCCATTTTTTCCTACTCAACTCCTATTTATTTTTTTTTTTTTGGCAACATTGAAATTTCCTATCACAATACACCTTTTTTAACATTTTTTTTTCGTTTTAGTGCGAGGTTATCGAAGTCATTTTTAAACCTCACCGATTATAATTATTGCTTTTATTTACTTTTTTAATTTATTTCCGCTACTTTTTAACATTGAGAAAATAATTTTCGATTTACCCTCATCCCGTCACAGAATAAGTTAATAAAAATAAATCCGATTCGAAGGTTTTGTTTTCTGCCTTTCTGAGATTCTGAGCATTTCTTTAAATAATTCTACGAGAGTCTAAAATGTTCTAATCGTATTTGTTTAAATAAGATTTCTTAAAAAACAAATAATATTCAATTAAGATATGTCTTTAGACATTCTAATATATTTAAAAAATCTTATTTAAAAGACTTCCTCGTCTAATAAATACTTAGATGTAAAAAAATAAAATAAATTTATCGTTTTTCATTTTTGTTCGATTCTTCTTTTTCTTGATTAGTACTTAAATCGTAAATATCATACTGATTAATATCTCTTAAATCATCCCTCTTCCTTCTTTCCGTTATTATCCTTTGGACGCTTTCTTGAGAATCGTGTTTTGGCATTTGTATATTTGTGGGCTCATCCATTTCGATTTTAGCAACAATTTTTATTTCCGGAACAGTTAAAGTGTTGGGAGACAAAAACGGTGTTTCTTCGGTAATTTCCATCGATTTTTGTTTGGAAAATAAATGCTTCGTGCTTCCGTAAAGTCTATGGATCGGTTTTTCAATCGGAACTGATAACAACACATTCCCAGTTTCTAATGGGGCGTTTTCGTTTATATTTTTTAATGGATACTTTTCAATTTCTACGTCGGTTTTTTTCAAAAACGGCTCAATTTGATTTAACGATTTATAATCTTCGAAATTCATCCGTCTGTTTTTTTCAAAATCAATATTTTTAACATCTTTTATACTGTAAATATCCGAAATCGATTCATCTATATTTTTTATATCATCTAAATTGCATAATTGAATTGGTTGTTGACTGTGTAAAGTTTTTCTTCGGGTTTTTGTAAACGATGGAGCTTTTTCTATTTGACATTTTGTTCCTGGTGGATTATAGGTGAAGTTTGATGGTAGGGATAATACCTAAAAATAATTATTTTTATTAGGTTTATGTTATACAAATTACTTAAAATTAATGTTTGTAAGCAATTTCTTGATAGGATATTATATTTTGTAACTTGCAAAATTTGAATATTTGTTGGGAACATAACCTAATCTTCTTGGAAGTTTTTATAGACTGGTAATAAGCATAAATTATTGTATCTCAGACTTCTGCCTAAATTGTATAGTTTAAACTTGTACCCTACGTTATATAGTCTCCAAACTTTTAGCCCATGAGCTATTGTATCACAGCAACGTTTGGAGTGGTGTAAATTGTGGGTATACTAGTACCTAGAGTGTCAGAAGGTGGTATTTAGTGATTTATCTTTATTCTATTTGGGGATGCATAAGGGCTGGAGGATCATGTTTATAAAAGTGTATCTGCAACATACTCTGCAGATGCTGCAAGTTCACTCCATAAACAGTTTTGCGTTCCGATTTTTTATGTTATTATTTTATTTGGCAGTTTTTGAAAATATATTACTACATATATTACTTTGTTGTAGGTTTTCATTTTTGAGTCTGTCATGTAGTGTTTTTCCATGAATCCTTCTCGTCATTTGCTGTGTCTGGAGGTATCTACTCTTGTTTTAGCCGCGATTGTTATTTTCTTGCTTGTAGATTATTTTACATTCCACTTTAATGAATTTGTTCCTCCATGCCACCATACGATTTCCAGAGCTTATTATATCAGCTCCTAAATATTTAAACTTCCTTGATCAAGATCACGGATGATATAAGACTTGCCTGTGATAACCGTCGTCTCACTATTTTGGTTCTACTTGATTTCAGCAAAGCCTTCGACTCTGTCGATTACGATCTTCTTCTTTCTATACTTTCATCTATTGGTTTTTCTTCCTCGAGTCTTTCATGGTTTCATTCATATCTTTCGCATCGCACACTGTGTGTGTCCGTGCCAATTCAACCTTTTCCAACCGCTTTGAGCTTTCTTGTGGTGTGCCCCAGGGCAGTGTTCTCGGTCCGTTGCTGTTTTCTATCTTCATTGATAGTGTCACCAAAGTTATTTCTTCAAATTTTCATCTTTACGCGGATGACCTGCAGATCTATACCGATACAACAGTTGATGACTTTCCTCAAGCTATTGAGCGAATTAATAATGATCTTGCGAGAGTGCTTGAGTGGTCTAAACTATACGGTTTGAAGCTCAATGCTAATAAGACCCAAGCCATAATATTTGGTACAAATCCTCTACGGAGCAGGGTGGCTACTTTTGCTAACTCGCAACTTCTACTTGGTGACACCGTCATTAAATTTTCGGATGTAATTAAGAATCTTGGAGTTATGATGGACTCTGCACTGTCTTGGCGCCCCCAGGTTCAGGCGATTTGTAAGAGGGTTTACTCTTGTTTCCACTCCCTCCGTAAATTTAAGTGTTTTCTTCCACCTTACGTTCGACGCAACCTCTGTTATTCGCTGATTTTTCCACATCTTGATTATGCGGATACGGTTTGTACTGACCTGTCGATATCTTTGTGTAATAAACTCCAGAGATTACAAAATAATTGCATACGTTTTATATTCGATCTTGGGAAATATTGTCATATTACTCCTTACCGCAATAACTTACGTTTGCTTACGTACGTAAACCGTCGGTCCTTCCGTGTGTTAACAAGTCTCTATAAGATTATTAAGACTCAGAGTCCACAGTACTTATTTAATAATTTTAAATTCTTATCATCACACGAGCGTCCCACTCGTTCGCAATCGGACTTAATTCTTCTATTCCCAATACATCATACGAATTTATACCACAGGTCATTTACGCTGTACGCCATATCCCTCTGGAATGGTCTCCCCATGGATATTAGAAACGCTCCAACCCTGTCATCTTTCAAGACTTGTCTTACACATTTCCTCTTCTCCCGTCAAATTGCGATCTTGTAATATTTTACTTCCTTTTCTTCTTTTCTACTTTCTTTCCTATGTTCCTTATTCACCTTCTTTCTTTTCTGCTTTGTTACTCTGTGCATTTCTTACACTTTTCTTCCCTCCTTTTTGTTGTTTGTTTTTTTTTCTTTTTCGCTTTTGGTTAATTATGCGTGCCTTAATTACTTACTATTCTGTATATCTGGTGGTATCATTGTAATATAGTTTAGACTGGGTCGATTGGAAGATATCGTCTTTGGCGATAAATCGTTCCGTTTGTCAGAATTGAATTTATGATTTGTTTTCCACTGTCATTGTTATAATCATCTTTGCTTTTTTTTTTTGTTACACTACCGCCGCTAATATAGGATAATTATAATAATGTACAATTTTCCTTTGTTCTTTTATGGCAATAAAGTTTGTTTATTATTATTATTATTAAACTGATTTATTTGTTTGATGATTTTCTGGTTGAGCTCCAGTTTGCATCTTACTGATTCTTTGAATGTTACAAGATATTTGGTTTAATAATAATATTAGGTTTTATTGAATAAGTTATACAGTTCGTAACAACCTTCACAACCCATTCACAACCTAGTATTTATATATTAGGAAAGTTCTTGTCTGTAAGGTATTCCTCAATTGAATAATACTCTTTTTCCACTAATATTCGTTTAACTGTCTGTTTGAACCTTTTGTTATTCAACTCTTTTATTTTTGATGGCAATGCTTTATACAATTTGACCGATATATAGTTGAAAGTATTCTGGGATTTTTTGATTCTGTGATATGGTATCAACAGACTACTTCCATGGCGCGTGTTGTAGATATGTAGATCTTCGTTCTTTGGCAATGTGTCTTTCTTTGTATGAACATTAACTAGGTAGGTAGGTATGACACAACCTGGGATAGTTAGTATTTTTAAGGTTTTAAAAAATGTTCGGCAGCTTCCAATATAGTCAAGCCTAGACAAGATCCGTATCACTTTCTTTTGCATTTTAAATATGTCGTACATATCATTGGCCCTCCCCAGATAGATATGCCATACGTTGCCATGCTGTGAAAGTAAGCGAAGTAGACGCTTTTTGTTTCATTTGTCGGTAAATTTTTAGATATAGTAGACGCCACGAGAGCTGGCAGTAAATCATCACTTTCCGCTCTTACAAATGGCATACGTAGTTCACAAACCGCTAGAGAGTAATGTGTGTTGGAAAGAGATAGCATTAGTTTAATATGTCTGTTGTACAATTCAAATGGCCACGTCGAAAAAGTACGTCTGTTCTTTCAAGGGATGTAACTCTATAATTATAACTTCAAATCGAAACGGCTTGTGAGCGTTGTCATGAATCTGTCAGTGTTTTCACAAGCCGAAAATGTTTTCTTTGAAAGGAAAATCATTAAATAATATCTTTGACAATGTTTGACATATAACCTCCATTACTAACATAACCTACATTTAAATGTATGTGATGAAATAATCTAACTCGTACGTCCATATCTTGATTCATACGATCTGTCACTGCCAGCTCTCGTGGTTTCTACTATATAACCTTTATACATTGAATTTGATAATTTTCTTTTTAAGATTGTTACATGGTCCGACCACGTTAAAGTTTGGGACAGAATAATGCATAGAAAATTTATCTTTTGAATTTCAATGTCTATAATAATAAATTATATCCAGTAGCTTTAAGCCATATTTATGTAATTTTTCTCTTAAAATTCTGTGGTGTTTGAGGTTCACAAAAGGCTATTTGCGTGTATTTCTGTTGGTCAAAACTATCTGCTATTTTTTGGATAACATTTAGTAACGCTGTTGTCGTTGATCTGCCTTGTATGTACCCATGCTGATATTTGGTTATGAGATCTTCTTCTTCTAAATATTCCATTATCTTTCTCTTTATGACCATTTCAAATACTTTCGACATCTCCGGTAATATTGATATAGGTCTATAATTGGCACAATCGTTTGGGTCCCCTGGTTTCTTAGTTGGTATTACTTGCGCTAGTTTGAGTTCCAGTGGGAAAATACCTTCTGTCAAACATTTGTTTAGTACTACTTTGAGTTGTTTACTATTTTGTTCTTCTATTTCTTTTAGCAGTTTTACTGATAAGCTATAAATATCTGTTGTTAGTGCTTTTCATGTTTTTAATGATTTGTGTGACGTCACAGCTTTCTGTAGCTTCTATTGCATTTAAGAACTTGTTTGATTTTAATGTTACCACTGCTTCCATTTGACTTAACATATTATTTTGTGTTAAAACGGTTGAGTGTCCAATAGTAATGAAATGATTATTGAGAACATTTGCGTTCAGTGTGGTCTTAACTTCACTCTTAATGCATCCTTTACCTACTTCTTCCTTTGTTATTTTCCAAGCTGCTTTTATTTTGTTTTCTGCGTTATTTATATACTTTGTATAAGCTTCTTTTTTCGCTAAGCCAACTTCATTTCTGTATTGTTGCTTAAATGATTTATACGTGTTTTTAGCGCATCAAGTTGATTTTAAATTTAATTTCCCTACAGACGTTTTTACAGGTTGTTCTGGAAACGCCCTTTTAAAACATGTCATGAGGATTTCATGATATTTTGTGTAAGTTGTTTCTGCATTGAGACTTGTACTATGTATTTGTGACCAATCGCTCTCTTCTAATACACGTTTGAAAATCTCTATGTTAGTAGCGTTTATTCTTTTTCTTTGTGTCATTTTAATTTCTTGTTTTCCAGATGTCAAGATACAAGATGCTTTTTGTGCCAAATAATCACCTAAAAGTTGACAGTCTTTACAACGCTTTTTTACTTAGAAAATGTTCCTTCACTTTTGTTTTTTCGTTTACACAAATATTGAAGTCTCCAAGTATTAATATATTTTTATTAGTTTGTTTTATTTGTTGTATAATCTAAAATTTTTTTAAAACGTTTCGTCGGTGTTAATAATAATATTAAGTTATTTTGCCGATTGATTTAAAAAGTGGAGTGATCTTTGCAAAATCTAGTCAGAATTAACAGTTAGTACCGCAATCCGTAATCTATTGTGTGTGCAATCTATTTCTCTAAATCAGTATAACTAATGGTTTTCTGTTATTTTTTGTAAGTAACTTAATCTTAATGCGCACCATCTATGTTTTAAAACCAAGGTAACAATTCCGTAGTGTGCACTCTTGTGCGCGATCTATTCTTCATATCCGAAGTAATAGAAGGAAATCTTGTACATCTATGCGCTCTTGCGCGCACAAGTAAGCGATCTATTCTTCATATCCGAATATCCGAAGTAATAGAAGGAATTCTTCTACATCTATGCGCTCTTGCGCGCACAAGTGCGCGATCTATTTATCATATCCGAAGTAATAGAAGGAAATCTTCTACATCTATGCACTCTTGCGCGCACAAGTGCGCGATCTATTCTTCATAATCGAGGTAATTATGCACACCTAAGCGTTCTTGCGCGCACAAGTGCGCGATCTATTCTTCATATCTGAAGTAATAGAAGGAATTCTTCTACATCTATGCGCTCTTGCCCGCACAAGTGCGCGATTTATTCTTCATATTTGAGGTAATTATGCACACCTAAGCGTTCTTGCGCGCACAAGTGCGCGATCTATTCTTCATATCCGAAGTAATAGAAGGAAATCTTGTACATCTATGCGCTCTTGCGCGCACAAGTGCGCGATCTATTCATCATATCCGAATATCTGAAGTAATAGAAGGAATTCTTCTACATCTATGCGCTCTTGCGCGCACAAGTGCGCGATCTATTTATCATATCCGAAGTAATAGAAGGAAATCTTCTACATCTATGCGCTCTTGCGCGCACAAGTGCGCGATTTATTCTTCATATTTGAGGTAATTATGCACATCTAAGCGCTCTTGCGCGCACATGTGCGCGATCTATTCATCATATCCGAATATCCGAAGTAATATAGTAGACGCCACGAGAGCTGGCAGTAAATCATCATTTTCTGCTCTTACAAATGCCATACGTAGTTCACAAACCGCTAGAGAGTAATGTGTGTTGGAAAGAGATAGCATTAGTTTAATATGTCTGCTGTACAATTCAAATGGCCACGTCGAAAAAGTACGTTTGTTCTTCTAAGGGATGTCACTCTATAATTATAACCTCAAATCGAAACGTCTTGTGAGCGTTGTCATGAATCTGTTAGTGTTTTCACAAGCCGAAAATGTTTTCTTTGAAAGGAAAATCATTAAATAATATCTTTGACAATGTTTGACATATAACCTCCATTATTAACATAACCTACATTTAATTGTATGTGGTGAAATAATCTAAGTCGTACGTCCATATCTTGATTCATACCAATTTTAAGCGATCTGTCACTGCCAGCTCTCGTGGTTTCTACTATAGAAGGAATTCTTCTACATCTATGCGCTCTTGCGCGCACAAGTGCGCGATCTATTTGTCATATCCGAAGTAATAGAAGAAAATCTTCTAATCTATGCGCTCTTGCGCGCACAAGTGCGCGATTTATTCTTCAGAATTAATGTAATGGTATGCACACCTAGGAGCTCTTACGTGCACAAGTGCGCGATCTATTCCTCATATTCGAGGTAATTATGCACACCTAAGCGCTCTTGCGCGCACAAGTGCGCGATCTATTCTTCATATCCGAATATCCGAAGTAATAGAAAGAATTCTTCTACATCTATGCGCTCTTGCGCGCACAAGTGCGCGATCTATTTGTCATATCCGAAGTAATAGAAGGAAATCTTCTACATCTATGCGCTCTTGCGCGCACAAGTGCGCGATTTATTCTTCATAATTAATGTAATGGTATGTACACCTAGGCGCTCTTGCGCGCACACGTGCGCGATCTATTCTTCATATCCGTGGTCATTATGCATACCTAAGCGCTCTTGCGCGCAGAAATGCGCGATCTATTTGTCATATCCGAAGTAATAGAAGAATTCTTCTACATCTATGCGCTCTTGCGCGCACAAGTGCGCGATTTATTCTTCAAAATTAATGTAATGGTATGCACACCTAACCGCTCTTCCGCGCACAAGTGCGCGATCTATTCTTTACGGTAATGTCTGTGTTAATGCCTCTTGTATGAACAAGTACACGATATATTTTTCAAACTCACGTTTTTTGCCGCACATGGTTTATTAATGGTTGTTAATTACCTTAGTTAATGGCTTATAATGAGGTTGAATACATTCCGAATCTAATTGAAGAGCTAAACATAATTCTCTTCTTTCTTCAAGTTCTTGTTTTTCCTGAAACTCCCTTTCCAATTGATTATCCATATCTTGTTCGTCTTCTAAATGTTTATGAGATTCCTCTAAGTGTTTCATCAAAACCTACAATAATCATTTTATTAATTTATATAACAAAATCATTATAAATAAAATCTTACCGCAACTACGACATTTACAAGAACAAATTGCGCCATAAGTACAAAAATGACAAAGTATAAAGGTGCTATTATAGCTGAGACGCAACAATTTTCTAAACAATTTGCGGATGAATCGCAATCTTCCCTCAAAGTGTCCTTCATAATTCCGTTCCAATTATCTCCAGTTGCGACGCGAAATAAAGTTAAAAATGCCATCCCGAAATTTTTAAAATGTGCGTGTTCGCCTAAACCTTGACAGACGTGTTTTTCGCAATCTAATCTTCCGAATAATTCAACACCCAACGCCGCGAAAATGAAGAAAAGAAGAAAAAACAACAAGCCTAAATTACCAACTTGTGGTAAAGCTTGCATTACGGTGTCTAAAAGGGCTCGGATACCTTTAGCCATTTTTAATAATTTTAAAACTCTCGCGATTCTCATCACTCTCATTACGCGGAGAACTGTGGGGTTAATTGGGATAATTTTCGATTTTAATTCTTCTAAGATAATTCCAACGACCGATAAAATAACAATTCCAACGTCTAATTGATTCCATTTGTCTTTCATGTAAAGAACAAATCCTAGTGCGATCAATTTCATCGTACTTTCTAAGATAAAAACGGCGGTGAAGAAATAATTAAAAATTCTTAAGATGTAATGAAGAATATCGGGCATTTTATAACTTTCAGTTGCCATTGTGACTACGTTAAGACCAATTACAGCTGCTATGGCTAAATCAAAGTACTTAGAAGTGACTACGTTGTGAATAAAAAGTCTCCATTTAGAGTAATTGATGTAATAAGGAGGTTCATTCATTTCTAAAAAGAAGTTTAATTAAATAATTTTTTTTTAATGTTTTTAAAGCTTACTTCTTCTGCGCTTTTCCATTTGTAAAGCTCTTTTCGCCGCTCTTCTCACCCTTTCTTCTTTTTCTTGTTCTTCTCGGCATCTATGAAAGTTTTCAACGACAACTCCCACGAACATATTTAGGACGAAAAATCCAACGAGTAAAATGAAGGCGATAAAATATAACAATCTCCATTCGGAGTAATTCGTTTGTGGTTCTTGGTCAACTCCGACCGCATCTAAACCGCTGTACATTATATTAACCCAACCATCTCTTGAGCTTAACACAAACAAAGACATTAAAGCTTGTCCTAAATCATCGAAATTATATTTTTGATTATCCCATTTATTTCCTCTCAATTCGCATTCAGTGCGGTTTTTAACTCCGCGAATATCTTCGCCTTTACAATAATGAAAAGCGCCTTTAAACAACTAAAAAAGGAAATTTTTAATCATTCAAAACGATTATTATGATAAGATTAAGATTTTACCTGGACTCCGAGAATGCCAAAAATAATAAAAAACGTACAACAAATTAAAACGATATTTCCAATGGGACGAAGTGATGATAATAAAGTTTGCACGACAAGTTTTAAACCTGGAGCTCGATTAATAACTCGTAACGGTCTTAATGATCTTAATAATCGAAATACTCTTAAGATTCCGAAAATTCTCGGGCTTTCAGATTCGTTGATTAGTGACATTAATAGGTCTACTATTGAAATGATTACTAAAGAACCGTCCATTATGTTCCAACCGGATGTGAAATAAGCATCTGGGCCATAACACATCCCCGAAGCAACCACTTTTAAAAACATTTCTAAGGTAAAAACGACGGTGAATAAATAATTTGTGGATTTTAAAAAGAATCTTTCTGTGCTATCTGGGGGGATGTTAGGACGTTCCATTGCTAAAGTAATACAATTCATTGCGATGAAGAGTAAGACGACGTTATCGAACCATTTTTGATAAACTAACCATACACATAATTTTCTAAACCTAAATAAAAAAAATTAATTCCTTCACAATTTAAATTTAAAAAAAAATTACCTATTATTAGGTGGAAAAATATACAAAGAAAACTCATCCCTTTCCTTCATACAACCTTTAGGCTCAATCATCATTAAAAACTTCTTCAATTTCGTCGTTTTTATTTCCGGCTCGACGGTTTCGCATTCGTCAAGTTTAATCCTGGGAAGAACCTTTTCTTCTTGTTTTTCAAAGTTCAAAGTGTTGATGCTTTTTGGTTCTGCGTAACCAACCTGACCGGAAATCGCTGGGGAGTTGATTTTTGCGATTTGATTGCATTGGTTGCTTTTGGGTTGAATTGAGATTTGCCCGGCTATTAGCGAATTGTGTCTCGTTAAACTTGGAGTCCAAGAAATCTAGGAATTACCAAAATTAAAGTAACAATATTATGTGTATAAGAAATTGTTGATTTAAGTTTTGAGTAGGAGGTCATGCAAACGAAGATGTTTTAGTTTTCCATGCTTAGGTATAAACGATTCAAAAGTAATGTGTTGAATCAACATTTTAATATAAAAAATTATGTTGTAAATCATGTTATCCAAAGAGATAGATGGAATGTTGGGTTGTTTAGTAAGCACTATGAAGTGGGGTATCATGATGAGTATGATTGGTTGGGTTTGGATTGCTTATTGAAGTCATTGCCTTTAAGCAAATAATGTAGGATAAGATGAAAGAGTTGTTAATCAAAGTTTATTGATGAGATTCAATGGAAGCTCTACCAGTAATAAATAATTGTAGGAATTAGGGATGCAACAACACCCATAAAAAAAAACGATATTAGAACATCGATGTTTTCCAAAAGTGAAACATCGATGTCGGAAACATCGACATTTTATACCGATACATCAATGTTTAAAAAAAATATTGAGTGGCTGAATTTTTATTATAAGAATGATCATAATAATCAATAATATTTGGACCGCGTTCTGCACCACTTGACTAAGCGACAAATAATAACAACTTTATTATCATAAATTTAATCACTAAAACTAGAGACAAAATGATGACGATTTATGTAAAAATTTTTGAAGAAAAAAATCTAGAGTTTGATTTTATACTTTTAAACTGGTTTTTATTTTATATACATAGAATTTAAGTCTAACCAGTTTCGGCCTTTGGCCATCTTCAGAGACTCTACAAATAGATTAACATCTCTCATCTTATCCATTTTACAAAGAAGTTTGTTAATATTTCTTTTTGTTTTGTTAAAAAGATCACATATCAATGTCGAAATCAGATATTAGTTACTAATTTACAAAATTAAAGTTTAAAAAGTTGTAAAATGAAATTAAGGACAAATCGTTACAAGTTTACAGATTAAATTCAGAATAAGATAAAGAACGCTCTTTTTTAACAAAAGAAATATTAAGAAACTTGGGAAAAATTCAAGACTCATCATGTGGCTTAAAAATCGACGATTTTTTTTAATCAATGTGAAATGACCCAAAAAACACGTTAAAAATATAAAGAAAGTGCGGAAAAGTGACTAACACTAGATTAACTTCAATTGTAAAACTTCTATTACATGACAATTAACTTCAGGTTTAAAATGCCAACCTCACTTTTGACATATTTGTAATCATCATTAAAAATCCTTTGAAATGAGTGCAAACACGACATATTTATCTTCAATATTAATGAAGTTAATGGTCAACTTCCGGTTAAGAATGTCAACGTCAGCTTTGACATATGTATTTGTAATCGTCGTGAAAAATCCTTTAAAATGAGTCCAAACACTTCCGGTTTGAAATGTCAATGTCATGTATTCATAATTTTTATAAAATGTCTTAATATTTGTCACAAAAACGAAAGTATAATAAAAAAAATAAAAAATTAAGGTTGGTATTAATATTTAAAAATTAAATTGCTATCTTCATTGTTGCTAACTTAGGGTTTAATGTTTTTTATTCAAACTTTTCTGTTTTTTGAGATAAGTGCGTCATCTTTGGGCTCATTTTAAAGGTTTTTTAATAAAGATGACAAATATGTCAAAATTGACGTTGACGTTTCAAACCGGAAGTGATTGTATTTCCATTAATATTAAAGTTAAATATGTCGAGTTTGGACTCATTTTAAAGGATTTTTTATGAAGTTGACAAATATGTTAAAATTAAAAGTTGCAAGTTCGAATTTTTGGCTTTTTGAGATAAATGTGTCAAGTTTGGACTCACTTTAAAGGTAATAATAAAATTAAAGTTGACATTGACAACTGAAAGTTTTTTTCACGACTAAACCAGAATGTTTCTAATTTTAGATCTTGTGTTAGTTCTAGTGATAGTGCTAGTGTAAAACTAGAGCTAATACTAGACCTAGAACTAAAAATATTCGGTCTACTGTTAGTTCTAGTTTTAGTGCAACAAAAATGTGCAACAGTGATATCTTATGCTAACTAGCGCTACCTCCCATGTCGTTTGTAAAATGGATAAGATGAGAGATGTTAATCTATTTGTGGAGTCTCTGAAGATGGCCAAGGGCCGAAACTAGTTAAATTTAAATTCTATATAAAATAAAAGACATAAACTTTCAATTTTATACTAACATCTAGAAAACGACACTGACTCGAAATTGTAGGTTCATCTATTTTTTCTATTGTAGAATTTCTTGGTGTATCTAAGTGTCGTATCTAATGGTAAGTCGGTTCTTAGACGTATGATGCAAATCGGACTTGAAATCGTATAACGTGATTGGCGCTTAGCTTTATCCTTTAAAACAAATAATATTTTAGGTCTCTCGGTATTCTGTATTTTTTCTAAGATAAATTACTCCTTTACCTACGAGACAGCATGAAAATCTCTAAAAACGATAAAATGTCGCTTAGTCAAGTGATGTATCGCGCGGTCCATTTATTATAATATGATAAAACACAGATAATGTTATTTAAATTTATTTTTAAGTATAGAATTCAAAAACATTAACTTGGACAACCTGGTGCCTAATAAGCGATTCCTTTTCTGATTAATTGTTGCGCCAACTTCTGAGAATAATCGCTCGTTGGACATCGAAGTTGCTAAAAGTGGCAAATATTTCATTGCTCTTTTATACAAACATGGAAATAATGGTCGATTATTTTATTAAACATCGAAGATAAAATATTGTTGATAATGAACGATGTATCGATGTTTTATAGACTTCAATCGATGTTTTAACATCGATGTTTATGGACGATACATCGATGTTTTCGAAAAATCGATGTATCGTTTGCATCCCTAGTAGGAATGCAATGTTGCCTAAGAGGATGATGTATAGTGTAAAATAACTGGAATCTTAGATTATTCTGTATACTGTAAAGATCAGAATGCCTTATTACTACCGATAGTCTCAGGTTGTGGAGGAGTACAATGACTGGATAATGCCAGAATAGTTCACCTGATCAAATCAATGACCTCAGATAATATTGGGTAAAGTTACTTAAGTCTCTTGAGCTTATTGTTGACATTAATATTCTAGATATTGTTGATCACATTCTTTGTACTGATTTCTTTTGAGCAATATAAATGATCACTCTTTGTTATGTGCTACTTTGAACTTGTCAGAATGTGTTTTAAATAATTTTGTTGGGTTGGAGAACTTTTATTGTAAATTTGAAAAAAATAAGCAAGTTATCAGACATTTTTGACATGAAAACCAGTATTCTGCACGTGTTTGAAGTAGTCAGATTATTTCCTAATACTTTTGTAAGTTGTCTATGTTAGATTTTGTTAGGTTCTCTTTAAAAAAAGCTCTCTCGTTTTGGAAAATTTGAAAATTAATAAAAAATCAATACTCTTCTGTGCATATTGGAAGTTGTCAGTATCTTTTCCCACATTTCTGTTGGCATGAAGAACTCTCTTTTTCTAAATTTGCTAAAATAAACAAGATATCAGATAGCTCCTGTATCTTTTTCAGAATTGTGAGCTGATTTGAAATTGTCAAAATTTATTACCAATAATTTTATTGGATTGGAAATTTGACAACATAAGCAAGTATGTAAATTTGTTGTAAGTAAATATCAGAATTTTTTCAAATAGTTGGGTTGGAGAGTTCCTTTTTTCTCAATTTTGCAAAAATGCGCAAGTTATCAGACGATTTCTACATGTATGCTCAAAATTAAAGCATGTTGAAAGCTTGTCAGAACTAGTTTCTAATAATTCTATTAAGTAACAGAATTCTTTTTGCTAAATTTGTAAGAATGAGCAAATCATCAGACGTCTACAGTATGTTTGGTATACTTTTTTCCAATAGTTTCTTAGGCTAGGAGGAATTTTTCCCTAAACTTGTAGGAATGAGCTAATTACAAGATGTTACCAGTATGTTTGAAGGAATTTTAAGGAAAATTACCTTATGAGATGATGGGAAAGATACTCGAATATCCTTAGTTATTATACTTTCAACTCAATGATGTTGTGGAATGTTGAGTAATGAAATATGAGTCGTACTTGTTACATAAAAGAAACACATTCATAAGAAACTTTGTCAGAACTCTTAGCTTATTACAACTTGTCAGAATTTGTTTACAATAACTCAATTGACTTGAAGAACTTCTTTAACGTACTCTATGTATATTGCAAATTATGACTTTTTTTCTAACAGATCTGTTGGTTTGGGAAGCTGTTTTTCCAAATTTTTCAAAAATTAGCAAATTATTTCTGAAGGTTTTTTAGAATAACTTGTCAGAATTTGTTTCAAATAATTCTGTAGGGTTGGAGAACTTGTTTTGCTAAATTTAAAAGGTTATCAGACGTTTCTGATACGTAAATCAGTATTTTGCACATATTGGAAGTTGTCAAAAAATTTTCCAATACTTCTATTGAGTTGGAGAGCTTCATTATCTCAAATTTGTAAACATGAGGAAGTTATTTCTGAAGGCTTTTCAAAATTAGGTGCTACTTTGAACTTGTCAGAATTTGTTTCAAATAATTTTGTTGGGTTGGAGAACTTTTTTTGTAAATTTGAAAATATCAGCGAGTTATCAGACATTTTTGACATGAAAACCAGTATTCTGCACGTGTTTGAAGTAGTCAGATTATTTCCTAATACTTTTGTAAGTTGTTTATGTAAGATTTTGTTAGGTTCTCTTTAAAAAGAGCTCTCTCGTTTTGGAAAATTTGAAAATTAATAAAAAATCAATACTCTTCTGTGCATATTGGAAGTTGTCAGTATCTTTTCCCACATTTCTGTTGGCATGAAGAACTCTCTTTTTCTAAATTTGCTAAAATAAACAAGATATCAGATAGCTCCTGTATCTTTTTCAGAATTGTGAGCTGATTTGAAATTGTCAAAATTTATTACCAATAATTTTATTGGATTGGAAATTTGACAACATAAGCAAGTATGTAAATTTGTTGTAAGTAAATATCAGAATTTTTTCAAATAGTTGGGTTGGAGAGTTCCTTTTTTCTTAATTTTGCAAAAATGCGCAAGTTATCAGACGATTTCTACATATATGCTCAAAATTAAAGCATGTTGAAAGCTTGTCAGAACTAGTTTCTAATAATTCTATTAAGTAACAGAATTCTTTTTGCTAAATTTGTAAGAATGAGCAAATCATCAGACGTCTACAGTATGTTTGGTATACTTTTTTCCAATAGTTTCTTAGGCTAGGAGGATTTTTTTCCCTAAACTTGTAGGAATGAGCTAATTACAAGATGTTACCAGTATGTTTGATAGAATTTTAAGGCAAATTACCTTAGATAAGATGATGGGAAAGATACTCGAATATCCTTAGTTATTATACTTTCAACTCAATGATGTTGTGGAATGTTGAGTAACGAAATATGAGTCATACTTGTTACATAAAAGAAACACATTCATAAGAAAGTTTGTCAGAACTCTTAGCTTATTGCAACTTGTCAGAATTTGTTTACAATAACTCAATTGACTTGAAGAACTTCTTTGCCGTACTCTGCTTATATTGCAAATTATGACTTTTTTTTCAAACAGATCGGTTGGTTTGGGAAGCTGTTTTTCCAAACTTTTCAAAAATTAGCAAATTATTTCTGAAGGTTTTTTAGAATAACTTGTCAGAATTTGTTTCAAATAATTCTGTAGGGTTGGAGAACTTGTTTTGCTAAATTTGAAAGGTTATCAGACGTTTCTGATACGTAAATCAGTATTTTGCACATTTTGGAAGTTGTCAAAAAATTTTCCAATACTTCTATTGAGTTGGAGAGCTTCATTATCTCAAATTTGTAAACATGAGGAAGTTATTTCTGAAGGCTTTTCAAAATTAGGTGCTACTTTGAACTTGTCAGAATTTGTTTCAAATAATTTTGTTGGGTTGGAGAACTTTTTTTGTAAATTTAAAAATATCAGCGAGTTATCAGACATTTTTGACATGAAAACCAGTATTCTGCACGTGTTTGAAGTAGTCAGATTATTTCCTAATACTTTTGTAAGTTGTTTATGTAAGATTTTGTTAGGTTCTCTTTAAAAAGAGCTCTCTCGTTTTGGAAAATTTGAAAATTAATAAAAAATCAATACTCTTCTGTGCATATTGGAAGTTGTCAGTATCTTTTCCCACATTTCTGTTGGCATGAAGAACTCTCTTTTTCTAAATTTGCTAAAATAAACAAGATATCAGATAGCTCCTGTATCTTTTTCAGAATTGTGAGCTGATTTGAAATTGTCAAAATTTATTACCAATAATTTTATTGGATTGGAAATTTGACAACATAAGCAAGTATGTAAATTTGTTGTAAGTAAATCAGTATTCTGCGCATATCGAAAACTATCAGAATTTTTTTAAATAGTAATGCGCAAGTTATCAGACGATTTCTACATGTATGCTTAAAATTAAAGCATGTTGAAAGCTTGTCAGAACTAGTTTCTAATAATTCTATTAAGCAACAGAATTCTTTTTGCTAAATTTGTAAGAATGAGCAAATCATCAGACGTCTACAGTATGTTTGGTATACTTTTTTCCAATAGTTTCTTAGGCTAGGAGGAATTTTTTCTCTAAACTTGTAGGAATGAGCTGGTTACAAGATGTTACCAGTATGTTTGATAGAATTTTAAAGCAAATTACCTTAGATAAGATGATGGGAAAGATAATCGAATATCCTTAGTTGTTATACTTTCAACTCAATGATGTTGTGGAATGCTGAGTAACGAAATATGAGTCATACTTGTTACATAAAAGAAACACATTCATAAGAAAGTTTGTCAGAAATCTTAGCTTATTACAACTTGTCAGAATTTGTTTACAATAACTCAATTGACTTGAAGAACTTCTTTACCATACTCTGTGTATATTGCAAATTATGACTTTTTTTTTCTAACAGATCTGTTGGTTTGGGAAGCTGTTTTTCCAAATTTTTCAAAAATTAGCAAATTATTTCTGAAAGTTTTTTAGAATAACTTGTCAGAATTTGTTTCAAATAATTCTGTAGGGTTGAAGAACTTGTTTTGCTAAATTTAAAAGGTTATCAGACGTTTCTGATACGTAAATCAGTATTTTGCACATATTGGAAGTTGTCAAAAAATTTTCCAATACTTCTATTGAGTTGGAGAGCTTCATTATCTCAAATTTGTAAACATGAGGAAGTTATTTCTGAAGGCTTTTCAAAATTAGGTGCTACTTTGAACTTGTNTCCTATTGAGTTGGAGAGCTTCATTATCTCAAATTTGCAAACATGAGGAAGTTATTTCTGAAGACTTTTCAAAATTAGGTGCTACTTGGAATTTGTCAGAATTTGTTTCAAATAATTTTGTTGGGTTGGAAAACTTTTTTTGTAAATTTAAAAATATCAGCAAGTTATCAGACATTTTTGACATGAAAACCAGTATTCTGCTCGTGTTTGAAGTAGTCAGATTATTTCTTAATACTTTTGTAAGTTGTCTATTAGATTTTGTTAGGTTCTCTTCAAAAGGAGCTCTCTCGTTTTGGAAAATTTGAAAATTAATAAAAAAATCAATACTCTTCTGTGCATATTGGAAGTTGTCAGTATCTTTTCCCACATTTCTGTTGGCATGAAGAACTCTCTTTTTCCAAATTTGCTAAAATAAACAAGATATCAGATAGCTCCTGTATCTTTTTCAGAATTGTGAGCTGATTTGAAATTGTCAAAATTTATTACCAATAATTTTATTGGATTGGAAATTTGACAACATAAGCAAGTATGTAAATTTGTTGTAAGTAAATCAGTATTCTGCGCATATCGAAAACTATCAGAATTTTTTTAAATAGTTCTATTGGATTGGGGAGCTCCTTTTTTCTTAATTTTGCAAAAATGCGCAAGTTATCAGACGATTTCTACATGTATGCTCAAAATTAAAGCATGTTGGAAGCTTGTCAGAACTAGTTTCTAATAATTCTATTAAGTAACAGAATTCTTTTTGCTAAATTTGTAAGAATGAGCAAATCATCAGACGTCTACAGTATGTTTGGTATACTTTTTTCCAATAGTTTCTTAGGCTAGGAGGAATTTTTTCTCTAAACTTGTAGGAATGAGCTGGTTACAAGATGTTACCAGTATGTTTGATAGAATTTTAAAGCAAATTACCTTAGATAAGATGATGGGAAAGATAATCGAATATCCTTAGTTGTTATACTTTCAACTCAATGATGTTGTGGAATGTTGAGTAATGAAATATGAGTCATACTTGTTACATAAAAGAAACACATTCATAAGAAAGTTTGTCAGAACTCTTAGCTTATTACAACTTGTCAGAATTTGTTTACAATAACTCAATTGACTTGAAGAACTTCTTTACCGTACTCTATGTATATTGCAAATTATGACTTTTTTTTCTAACAGATCTGTTGGTTTGGGAAGCTGTTTTTCCAAACTTTTCGAAAATTAGCAAATTATTTCTGAAAGTTTTTTAGAATAACTTGTCAGAATTTGTTTCAAATAATTCTGTAGGGTTTTGCTAAATTTGAAAGGTTATCAGAGGTTTCTGTTACGTAAATTAGTATTTTGCACATATTGGAAGTTGTCAAAAAATTTACCAATACTTCTATTGACTTGGAGAGCTTCATTATCTCAAATTTGCAAACATGAGGAAGTTATTTATGAAGACTTTTCAAAATTAGGTGTTACTTGGAACTTGTCAGAATGTGTTTCAAATAATTTTGTTGACCATAAGCAAGTATGTAAATTTGTTGTAAGTAAATCAGTATTCTGCGCATATCGAAAACTATCAGAATTTTTTCAAATAGTTCTATTGGGTTGGGGAGCTGCTTTTTTCTTAATTTTGCAATAATGCGCAAGTTATCAGACGATTTCTACATGTATGCTCAAAATTAAAGCATGTTGAAAGCTTGTCAGAACTAGTTCCAAATAATTCTAGTGAGTTACAGAATTCTTTTTGCTAAATTTGTAAGAATGAGCAAATCATCAGACGTTTATATTATGTTTGACAAAATTTAATATGATGGGAAAAATAATCGAATACCCTTAGTTATTCTACTTTCAACTCAATGATGTTGTGGAATTTTGAGTAATGAGATATGAGTCATACTTGTTACATAAAAACACATTACTTTTGAATCAACTTAATTAATTTGTCCACAAATTATAATTGTTAATGTATTATTTAACATTTTTTGTAGTCTTTTACCCATTTACATGCAAAACTTACTTGTGGTACAGAACTGCACGTATTCGACCTGCCTCTTAAAGAATTCTGCGGGCTTAGCCCTTTAGCACTTTTATTATTGGGTGCATCTTTTTGAGTATCATTTTGAATTCGTTGGATCGTCGATTGAAGTAGGGAGTCATTTCGTAAACTCGCCTATAACAGGCGATTTTTTTAAACCACTCCAAACCAAACGGTTATTACAGCAAATTTTCAAAAATATAATTAAGAAAAAAACTTACGTGTCTAGCCACGCCTCCTCCATTACATTGAGAGTGATCACGGCCATTATTTAAAGGGGCCGCATCCGAATCCGACCCACTACGATTTTTCTTTTTCCTCAAACTCGGTCTAGATCCTAATTTCCACGAACTTTTCCTTTGTATTTCTTTCTTCTCGATTTCTTTCGGTTGAGGAATCGTTATTTTTTCGGAATAAGTTAATCGTTTCGAGNTGCACATTTTGGAAGTTGTCAAAAAATTTTCCAATACTTCTATTGAGTTGGAGAGCTTCATTATCTCAAATTTGTAAACATGAGGAAGTTATTTCTGAAGGCTTTTCAAAATTAGGTGCTACTTTGAACTTGTCAGAATGTGTTTTAAATAATTTTGTTGACCATAAGCAAGTATGTAAATTTGTTGTAAGTAAATCAGTATTCTGCGCATATCGGAAGCTATCAGAATTTTTTCAAATAGTTCTGTTGGGTTGGGAAGCTCCTTTTTTTCTTAATTTTGCAAAAATGCGCAAATTATCAGACGATTTCTGCATGTATGCTCAAAATTAAAGCTTGTCAGAACTAGTTTCAAATAATTCTATTGAGTTACAGAATTCTTTTTGCTAAATTTGTAAGAATGAGCAAATCATCAGACGTTTATATTAAGTTTGACAAAATTTAATATGATGGGAAAGATAATCGAATACCCTTAGTTATTATACTTTCAACTCAATGATGTTGTGGAATGTTGAGTAATGAGATATGAGTCATACTTGTTACATAAAAACACATTACTTTTGAATCAACTTAATTATTTTGTCCATAAATTATAATTGTTAATGTATTATTTTTATTATAAACATTTTTGTAGTCCTTTACCCATTTACATGCAAAACTTACTTGTGGTACAGAACTGCACGTATTCGACCTGCCTCTTAAAGAATTCTGCGGGCTTAGCCCTTTAGCACTTTTATTATTGGGTGCATCTTTTTGAGTATCATTTTGAATTCGTTGGATCGTCGATTGAAGTAGGGAGTCATTTCGTAAACTCGCCTATAACAGGCGATTTTTTAAACCACTCCAAACCAAACGGTTATTACAGCAAATTTTCAAAAATATAATTAAGAAAAAAACTTACGTGTCTAGCCACGCCTCCTCCATTACATTGAGAGTGATCACGGCCATTATTTAAAGGGGCCGCATCCGAGTCCGACCCACTCCGATTTTTCTTTTTCCTCAAACTCGGTCTAGATCCTAATTTCCACGAACTTTTCCTTTGTATTTCTTTCTTCTCGATTTCTTTCGGTTGAGGAATCGTTATTTTTTCGGAATAAGTTAATCGTTTCGAGCCGATTCGTTCGTTATGCGTAATAATCTTCGAGGTTAACATTTTGCAATCATCAGGTGGGCGCTCGAATTGCTTAAAAATTTTCGGGGGTGGCGATAAAGTCGGCGGTTTGAGTAAGCTGCACATCGGGGATGATTTATTTTGGCTTGACTGAGATGATTCAATTATTGCCAATTGAGACTCTGAGCTGGGTGATGAAAATATATCACCTACGGGAGTTACGCTGTATTTAAATTCGGGGAAATCTTCTAAGGTTGTGCTGGGTGAATCTTGAGGGGTTGCCGCTGTGTGAGTTATAATTGGTGGTGAGGTCTAAAAGTAATGAATTATAATAATAAGGATGTAAAGATAAATTTTTTTTATTAATACTTGTCTTGATGGTTGTTTGAGCATTTTTGATTCTTTTTGGATGTTACATTTTGGGTCTTCTGAGCAGCACTCTTTGAGTTTGGGGTCTCTGCAGTCGAAGTAGTCGTAAGCTTGGGTTTTTATCGGGTTGTTTATGTCGTAATAGTGGAGTTTTCGGAGTTCTTCGGCGGATCTCCAACAATTTTTTCTTACATCCTTTATGAGAATTATTTGAGATAAATTTTGAAACTACAGTACAACCTCAATATAACGGACTAATACGGTTTTCAACAATAATATATTAATTAGCACGTTGAGCGCCGCGTGGCCACCATAGAGTGTTTTCTATTCTGGGACCAAGATTTTTTGTTGTTGATTAGCGTTGTAAGTTGTTTTCTCTCCTACAGGCTGCTGACTTGGTCATTCTTTTGCTCATTTTTGAGCTCCCATTCTCAAGTGTTACCTTTAATAACTTGAAAGAACAACAAATTCATCAAATTTTCATATTTTCGTATCTATCTCGATATTGACGTATCTAAGAGCAAAAGTGCAAGAGAGCAATACTGTTTACAATAAAATTTGCTACAACTTTTGTGCTAAAAGTTTTTTTGTAACATACTGCGATTTCTAAGGGTTACCTTTAATCACGTGAAAAAGCAACAAATTCATCAAATTTTCATATTTTCGTATCTATCTCGATATTGACGTAACTAAGAGCAAAAGTGCAAGAGAGCATTATTGTTAACAATAAAATTTGCAACAATTTTTGTTATAAAAGTTTTCTTATAACAAGCTCCGATTCTCAACTGTTACCTTTAATAATTTGAAAGAGCAATAAATTCATAAAATTTGTATATTTTCGTATCTATCTCGATATTGACGTATCTAAGAGCAAAAGTGCAAGAGAGCAATATTGTTAACAATAAAATTTGCAACAATTTTTGTTATAAAAGTTTTCTTATAGCAAGCTCCGATTCCCAAGTGTTACCTTTAATAACTTGAAAAAGCAACAAATTCATCAAATTTTCATATTTTCGTATCTATCTCGATATTGACGTATCTAAGAGCAAAAGTGCAAGAGAGCAATATTGTTAACAATAAAATTTGCTACAACTTTTGTGCTAAAAGTTTTTTTGTAACATACTGCGATTCCTAAGGGTTACCTTTAATCACTTGAAAAAGCAACAAATTCATCAAATTTTCATATTTTCGTATCTATCTCGATATTGACGTATCTAAGAGCAAAAGTGCAAGAGAGCAATATTGTTAACAATAAAATTTGCTACAACTTTTGTGCTAAAAGTTTTTTTGTAACATACTGCGATTCCTAAGGGTTACCTTTAATCACGTGAAAAAGCAACAAATTCATCAAATTTTCATATTTTCGTATCTATCTCGATATTGACGCATTTAAGAGCAAAAGTACAAGAGAGCAATATTGTTAACAATAAAATTTGCCACAACTTTTGTTCTAAAAGTTTTTCTTATAGCAAGCTCCGATTCGCAAGCGTTCATGATTCGCAAATTTTCGTATCTACCTCGATATTGACGCATCTCTGAAAGCAAAAGTGCAAGAGAGCAATATTGTTAAGAATAAATGTTTTTACAACTTTTGTTCTAAAAGTTTTTTTGTGAAAAGCTCCGATTTTACCATTAATAACTTGAAAAAGCAAGAAATTCATGAAATTTTCATATTTTTGTGTTTTTCTCAATATTGACGCATCTCAGACCAAAAGTGCAAGAGAGCAATATTGTTAGGAATCAAATTTGCTACAACTTAGGTTCTAAAAGTTTTATTGTGAAAAGCTCCGATTTCCGATTTTACCATTAATAAGTTGAAATGCAACAAATTCTTCAAATTTTCATATTTTTGTGTTTTTCTCAATATTGACGCCTCTAAGAGCAAAAGAGCAAGAGAGCAATATTGTTAAGAATAAAATTTGCTACAAATTTTGGTCTAAATGTTTTTTTGTGAAAAGCTCCGATTCCCGACTCTTTCCATTAATAACATGAATTAATTTAATATTTAAATACTTTTCGTCAAAAATTGTATTTCTTTAATTCCTATAGAAAGTTATCATGTAAAACTATCTAAATAACTTAATCTGCTCGGTCCAAGTTAACCATGCTTACTTCCAGGCACCACGCGTTCCTAAAATGAACATAACATCGTGTCCACCGGTGGTCACATTGGCCCTGGAAGTAAACAAAAAATCTCCACCGGTGGACACACGGCGCTCAATGTGTTAGAAACCGAGGCAGCTGTGCTGTCGAAGGAATAATTTAAAGTTTGACACATTCAATAGGGGAAGTTATATTGTACTTCTTATATTGTACTTGCCTTCTTATATTGGGAATAACGCAAGTTGGTCAAAAATATTTTGTTATATCGAGGTTTAACTGTATTGTATTTATTTTACCTGAACAAAACTGCTGCCAGAACTTGAGAATGATTTGCTAGAATCTTCGCTGCTTCCTCGTAGACTAGCTTCTAACATACAAGACATTTTCCTCCTGGCAATTTCTCTTTGCTCCCTCTCTCTTCGTTCGTTTCTTTCCGAACTAAAACCTTCCACCAAAATAGCTACCAATAAATTAAAAAGAACATAATTTCCGAAAGTCATTAATGCGACAAAGTACAACGCAGCCCAATGAGATGTTTTTGCCATTCCGTTTGAAAGCACCATGTTCCAATCTTCTTGAGTCAAAATCTATTTAACATAAAAAAGTTTTAATGTTGGGAAAAATGTGTTTATTTGTTTCGTGGGGTTAGTGGGTGTGGGGTTAATGTTGTTGGTGGAAAGAAAGATATTTTTGTGATCTCACTTGAAACACTGTGACCGTCGCCCAGAGGATGTTGTTGAAGTGCTTGCGGTCGCACTCGCACCGCTTGTCTTTAGACATGATCATTTGACAGTCGCAATCCTTAATCTCCTTGTTCTCGTCAATGTACTTGCAAAACTTACCGCCAAACAGGTACATGCCGAGGATGCTGTTAAAAGAACCCAAAACAAGTCACGTTTTTTGCTTTCCTCCTTTTTAATTTCTTTTTTTTTTTATATAAAGCGAGTTAAAACAAAAATAGTCCCAAAAACATCTAATCTAAAACTAAAAAGTTACATTTTGTAACTTTTCTACAGAAAGTAATAATCAAATTTAATTAATAATTAAATAATTAGTGTTATTTTTTACTACAATTTTTATTTAACGAAAAAGGATGTGTTTCTTTCGATCAATTTAAAAAATGCTGCTTTTTTTGCTCTGTTAAAACAGGGGTGACAATTTCGTCTAAAACTTTTTAGAGCTCAAAGTTTAGAAACACCGAGAAAACACTTAACATGCGCCACAGATTCGTTGCTGCAAAGAAAGTCAATTAAAAGAGAAATTGCAAAAAACAACAAAGATCGTGCATAAATTAAAAAACGTACCTGTTTTTTGAAGACGACGGATTTTTTTGAACATTTATTGTTATTATGGATTAATTAATGAACATTTATTGCTTCACAAAACTAAAAATTGGGATGATTTTTTCGGTTTTTTTTTTGTAAATTGATTTAAAACTTTATTTGGGGTAATTTTTGAAAGACGAGGCGTTACCTGAAAAACTGTAACGATAGCCCAGAGGAGGGAATCAAAATTTTTGCGGTCTTTCTCCTCATCATCATCAGTTTTGCACTTCCCTTCCCTCTTACCCTTGTCCACGGTGTCGCAAAATTTGCAACCGAACAGGTTCATACCGAGGATACTAGAAAAAAATTTCGAGAAAACCCGAATCAGTTTTATTTTCAGTTCCTGAAAATGAGACTGTGTTCATCTGAACGTCCGGACTCGTGTGTCAATCTTAATTATTTTTTTTTTTCACATATATGTTAATGAGTAACTAATAATCATTAATTTTAAGTGTATGTACAAACATGTATGTACACCTTTTTGGGGCATTCTTGTTATTAATTGGATGTGCGAAAATTCCTGGAAGGAAAAAACGTTGTGTTTCTCTAAAGCCGGAAATAAAGAGTATGTACAAAAGTGCAGATACCAAAAAAACGATTTAACGCGTTTTATATAAAAACAGGGACAGGCAGAAGTAAAGAGATAGGAAAGGTGTTTTGCAGTGTCCACAACGCATCAACCCAATTAAACAAAAATAAAAACGAAAAATTAAAATAAAACACACATAACCGTCTATGTATGAAGAAATGAGTGTTTTTTTTATGTACAAAGTATTTAAGTAGGTAGCGTATATACAGATAGGCTATTTACTATTCTATGTTGCTTATTTATTTACAGCGATGCCCAAAAGCCTAAATTATTTAATTCATTTAATTTTTTTTATTTAAGACTTTTGCACATTCTGCAACAACAATCAAATTTAATTTAATTAATTCATTTTAATTAATCATTTTAATCTATATACAATTCACGTTTAAATTCGTTTTTTATGTTAAAATCACTGAATTGCCACCCCTTTATTTCTTAATTAATCATGAACCCTGCAAAAAAATCTAATAACCCATCTATTAAATAATTAATCCCTATAATCATTTTAAAAAGTAATTTATGTACAAGAATGATGTATGATGTAGATAATTAAAGCTATGTACAGCAAATTTTTATTATCATTGCTTTTCCTTTTTTGGGTTAATTCAACGAACTTACCTGAATATAAAAATGAAGAGTATTAATAATGAAAAGAAAACCGCGACGTTGTCCATCGTTCTTAACATGACGAAGAGTTGTCGGCGCAAATTCGGCATGAATCGCACCAGTTTTAAGATTCTTAGCAGGCGGAAAGTTCTTAAAACTGATAGTCCTGAGTCTGTATGGGCGTCCCCCATATATTTTTGAAATAATTCGATGGCACTAAAAAAAAATAAATGTTTAAATGAATATTAATTTAATTAATAATAACATTAATTGATTTTGACTCATTAATATAAAGAAATCTTTCATAATGTCAAAGATAACCCTTTGTGTCCCAAGAGAATAATAAATTCTTTATTACGTTAGAAAATAAGTAACACATTTTGTCAAGAAAAATCCTAATTTAAAAATTCCTGGAAGCTGGATTTATTGAAATTAAGGAATGAAACTAATTTTAAATTAAAGCTCAAAGCTTCCTCTTTAAAATGATGTATAATAATGGTTGGGTTGGATTGGAAAAATATTGAGAAAAAAAATGTTGAAACAAAACCTACATTTTCGTATAACCTAAAAGTGTCAAAAACGATGCTAATTTAAAAATTCCTTAAAGCCGTATTTATTGAAATTAAGGAATGAAACTTATTTTAAATTAAAGCTCAAAGCTTTCTCTTTAAAATGATGTATAATAATCGTTGGGTTGGATTGGAAAAATATTGCGAAAAAAAACCTTACATTTCCGTATAACCTAAAAGTGTCAAAAAAGATGCTAATTTAAAAATTCCTGGAAGCCGTATTTATTAAAATTAAGGAATGAAACTTATTTTAAATTAAAGCTCAAAGCTTTCTCTTTAAAATGATGTATAATAATTGTTGGGGTGGGTTGGAAAAACATCAAGAAAAATGACCTTGAAGATCATATTGTAGTTTAGAAGATTAATTCTATTTGTATGGAATACAAAAAAGTTGATTCTTGCAATCTAAAGTATTGTGGCAAACAATCCACCATAGTATACAACTTACAAAGAGATTTAGAAAGACATAGACTCCAACAAATACAAATAGAGATGTATACTGTGTTTTTAACAAAACGATCATTACCTTCATGAATAAGATAGAACAATATAACTAATGAAGTTCCATTTAGGAATATTTGAGGAATAACTGTACCAATTTCCATCTTTCTATTTTAATGCTCGAGAAATGAAGATTTAATTAACATAATTGCTAAAAATATTCATCAAGTCCTACAAAAATCTTTTGGTAAATATTCTGGATAAATATTAATATAATGAGCCAAAATCTTGTTGATTAATTAATAATTACCTTAAAACAACCACAATGCCATCAAAAACATTAAATCCATTTGATATGTACTTAAAAGGTCCTTCCGCTATAATTTTCAATAACATCTCAACGGCAAAAACCGCCGAAAAAACTAAATTACTAATTTCCACGGCTGTTGTTAAAGTTTCCGGCTGATCGTGATACTCGATCCCCATCGATAAAGTATTAATTAAAATCGCTAATAAAATTCCTTGTTGAAAATATTTATGATTAACCAATCTTCTGATACTTTTCCTAATTATTCTAAACCCTTTCAACAATCCCTTAATAAGCAAACAAGTCCAAACGTATAATTTCGACCGTGTCTCATCTTTGTACTCGGTTTCTTGCACCCATAAATCTTGGCAACAACTGAAATCATCTTCACTCGTCGGTTGATCATCGGTTTTGCATCTATTTCCAATTCCTTTTGAGAGATTATCAAAAAATGTGTCTAAAGCTATTTGCCCGGTTGGTAAAGCGGCGTTGATTGCGCCTAAAGCTAAAAGTTCTTGGCACGTCATCGCTTCGCCGTTAATCAATTCGGAGTAATCGGATGGTTGTTGAGTTGTTTGTTGATTAGGATTTGTTGAGGAAATTTGCCAGATGTTTCCATCGCCCGTTTGGGTCATTTTTTCACTCGAACAAACGTTCCTTTTTTCTAATCCTTCAATATTCGATGCTAAAAGATTTGTCGATTGCGCTTGATTCACGGATTCGCCTCCATGAAGTACCACGACGTTGTTGAACATTACCGACGATCGTCTTGATCGGCAGATATTAATCGTCGTTGGTGATAAAAGATTTGTCGGACTCTAAAAAATTATTATATCAATATTAAATTGGTGTTGAGGAGAAATTTGTTTACATCGTTGTTATTTGTTGTTATATCTTGATTAGAAATCGATGGGACTCTTAATAAACTAGGTCTTTTACTAGATTGGGATTTTTCTTCGTTTTTTGCGTCTCTTTGTGTTACTTCGCTTATTGAGATTGAACTCGTTCTTGAGATATCTCCTCCACCCTGCTGCAACTTTAATTAATACAACATAATTAATACAACATTAATTAATAATAAATAATTAAATTAATCTTACTGTTTGTTTCATTTTTGGGCAACAAGGATGGTGTCTTTTGCTGTAATTTAGCCGGATCGTTTCGCCGGCCAAAATCTTCTTTTCTCTTCTTTGTTCTCTTCGATACTTTAATAATCTTATTTTTTTAATTAATCTCCGTTTACTTCTCCTCCATAAATGCGCTATGTATTTAACAATTTCAGCGTAACAACTCGTAGGTTCGCTATTGTTTAACGAAGAAGCTAAAGTACTACTGCTTTGGAATCTGGCTCTCTCCAATCGCATTCTTTCCATCTCCCTTTTTTTCGTTTCGGAGAATTGGGTGGCTATGACGACCAGGCAGAGATTGATCATGAAAAACGAGCCAATCTAGATAAATTAATTCGATTTTAATAGATTTCGAAAATAACGAGTTAATTGGACCGCGTTATACATCACTTGATTAAGTGTACTAACTAGTTTCGGCCCTTTGCCATCTTTAGAGACTCTACAAATAGATGAATATCTCTCATCTTATCCATTTTATAAACGACAGCACTATGACGTCATATTTTCAAAAAATCGTATCATCTCTATTTTTAATAGTAATGATATGATGTATATGTTAAATTGAAGCTTGAAAATCCTAGTTTATGATATGATATAAAAACTGTATGATAATATTAATAAAATTTCTTGAAAAAAGGTATTAAAGAAAACACTGTCAAATTTGCAAAATAAAATGACGTCATATTTTCAAAAAATCATATCATCCCTATTTTTAATGGTAATGATATGATGTATATGTTAAATTAATGATTGGAGATCCTAGTTTATGATATGATATAAAAACTATATGATAATATTAATAAAATTTCCTGAAAAAACGTATTAAAGAAAACAGCAAGACTACTTGCTTGGAGATTACAATACCACTGGCTGAAGACTATTTACTGAAACTATTCTTCTTTTGAGTGATATCTTTCTGTGTCTCTTCTATTACAGATTTAAAAATCGCTGCTAGAACACTCGATTCTTTGTAGACGGACGACCTAGCACTAGAAATATTGAGGTTTATTCGTGCGCCTAAAAATAATTTTGGTGTTTTTTGAAAGAGTTTCGACGAAAACACTTTCAGGTGTTAATGTCAACTTTAATTTTATTATTATATTCGTAATCTTTATAAAATAACCTTTAAAATGAGTCCAAACATGACGTACTTATCTCAAAAAACAAAAAAGTTAGAATAAAAAACATTAAACCCGAAATTAGCAACAATCAAGATAGCAATTTAATTTTTAAATATTAATACCAACCTAAATTTTTTATTTTTTTTTTTATTATATTTTTGTTTTTTGTAATAAATATTAAGACATTTTATAAAAATTAAGAATATGTCAAAATGACATTGACATTCTCAACCGGAAGTTGACCATAACTTCACTAATATTGAAGATAAATATGTCGTGTTTATACTCATTTTAAAGGATTTTTAATGAAGATTACAAGTATGTCAAAATTGAGGTTGACATTTTAAACTTGAAGTTAGTTATCATATGATAGAAGTTTTATAACTGAAGTTAATCTAGTGTTATTCACTTTTCCGCAATTTCTTTTTATTTTTAACGTGTTTTTGGGTCATTTCAAATTGATGAAACTGGTTAGACTTAAATTCTATATAAAATAAAGCCAGTTTTAAAGTACAAAATCAAACTTGGAATCATTTTGTCTCTAGTTTTAGTGATTAAATTTATACCACGACTTACAGAAACATAAAAATGGACTATTCTAAGAAATCTTATATTTTTAGAGAGATGAAAACGAAAATCCCGTTTTTCTCAACATTATTCATTAGTCGCTTAGACAAGTGATGTATAACGTGGTCCAATTAATTTACTTACAACGATCAAAAGAACGAAATAAATCCAATCCCAAAAACTGTGAGCGTCTTGGACGTAATACATGATGTCAGTCCATCCCTCCAAAGAAATAACCAAGAAAATAGCAACCCACGCCAATCCAATGTTGTCGAAAGAAATCGTCCCTTGGAAAGGATTTTCACCGCCCTCCTTACAAACGGTGTAGTACAAATTCCAGTTGACGCAACCTTCCGAATTCGTAGTCTTCTCCTCGAACGTCAAGTTACAAGTCTTATTGCCGTCTTTGAATTCGGGAAGTTTGGAACAATAATGCATGCCCGAATTATCCTTTTTACTACATATGTATTCCGTGTCTTGCATCGTTTCGTAATGTGGGGAAAATCCGCTGAAAGAACAACGTTAAAAATTAATAATTACAAAAAAATATTAAAAAAAAGTAAAAGAAATGAACCCAAACTGCAGATTCCCAATGGAAAAATCGAAATAATAAATGTTCAATAAAGGAAAAACACAAAACTGAACCCAACGATGTAATTAAACAACGATTGATTCACCGCGCTCGTATTTCATGTATATTTTTCGGGGTTTCTACCTATACGCGGAATCTCTGCATACGGCACATTTATTAAAACCTATAAATTTGTTCATCAATTTCATGCGCCAGGATCAAAATCAACAAATAAAAAATTAAAATTAAAATCTTTTTAATTGGAAATCCATAGTTTGAGGTGAACTGGGAATGATAAATATGTACACAAGTTCTTGGAGTTGCTGTTATCGCTTTAATTACTATCTATAATAATAAGAGATTTTAGGAATTATGCATTTTCATTTATATATAATCATAAAACAGTCTAAAATTTAATGGGCCAAAATTCACTCAAAAGTAAATCACTTCTTAGACATTAAGATTTGTTTCTCTTTGTTTTCATTGTCATCTCAAAATTATGAAGCACTCCCAAACGCAGAAGCATTCTGTGTTGTTTCAAGAAATCAGCGTTAAATTGAATATGGGTTCGGTGTGGTGTGGATTGATTGGGTTTGACTTGGTTGGCTTGTTTGATTATAGTTTTGGATTGCGTATAATTTTGGTGAAAATATGCTAATTTGTCTTGGATTTCGTTTTAATGTAGATAGGTTCAGTATCATTTGGTTGTGGATCACATAGATTCAGTTTTGGTGTAGATTAGTGGTAGAACGGATATCCGACAATTTTATCGAATTTTGTAATTTTCGCCGATTAGTTTTAAAAATTCGTATAAAATCCATTTCTTGAAATATGAGTATGAAAATTTCCCAAAGTGTTAATAAAAGTGTCCTCTTTCCAATGAACAAACCCGTTTTGAAAAATAACTTTAAGTTTTTGAGAAAACAATATTTGAAGTTTTGATAAAATTTTCGATGTTGCAATTTTCATCGATAATTTTCAAAATTCGCTATAAAATTAATTTCTTGAAGGATCCTTGTGGAAATATCACCAATTATTAATTAAAGTATCCTCTTTTTAATGCAGAAAGCCGTTTTGAAAAATCACTTTCAGTTCTTGATAAATAAATTTTTGAAATGATCGAAAATTTTGTCGAATTTTGCAATTTTCACCGATTAAGTTTTAAAAATTCGTATAAAATCCATTTCTTGGAATATGAGTATGAAAATTTCCCAAAGTGTTAATAAAAGTGTCCTCTTTCCAATGAACCAACCCGTTTTGAAAAATAACTTTTAGTTTTTGAGAAAACAATATTTGAAGTTTTGATCAAATTTTCGATGTTGCAGTTTTTATCGATAATTTTCAAAATTCGCTATAAAATTCATTTCTTGAAGGATCTTTATGGAAATAGCACCAATTATTAATTCAAGTGTTCTCTTTTTAATGCAAAAAGCCGTTTTCAAAACTCACTTTTAGTTCTTGAGAAATAAATTTTTGAAATAATCGACAATTTTTTGTATCCGTTCCATCACTAGTGGAGATGGGTTGGATTTGGCTTAGGTGGCATGGATTAAATATCATTTTAGTGTAGATATACTGATTTAGCTTGGGTCTCCTTTGAATGTAAATCAGATCAAATGGGTTCACGTTGGTTTGGGTTGGGTTTGCGTTGGTTTAAGTGGAAGTAAGAAGTGAGCATCTGAAAATGCTCCAAATTTAATAATTTTGAAAAGTGTGGCAAAAATTTGGGAATTTGTTCCAATAAAAATAATTACAATGCATAATTCCCCAATATGAAATTCAAGCGACAACACATCGAACGGTTATAAACCAAAAAATAAAATCGACCGTTTTAGATCCATTTTTCCCGGAAAACCCGCTTCAAAAAAGTAGTTTTCATCGGGATCTGTGTCCGTTCCTCATCAAGTATGCACAGAGAACCCTTTGCTCGTCGACCTAACCTAATTCTAACGCGATTATCGGGTACGTTTTGGCAATTATCATTTAAACTTTGTTATCCAGTTGGGGAGACGTTTCCGCTCCTAATTGGGCTACTTGGACTGCCAGAGAAAATTACTTCCTAATTGAATATTACATTTTATTTCTTTCATTCTATTAAACTTCAATCAAAGAAAAAGCAAAAAATTTCGTTTTGACCTCATTTTCAATTTTATCAGCGCCACCAAACACTTATTATTATCATTATTATCAGTTAGATAGTTTTTTTAGGAGCCGAGAAAGTCTTCGGTAGATACGACGTGAATCTCGACCCCTTAATGATGATATACGCGTAAATTTGCAGCCGGATGCTTCAGCACCCATTCTGGAGTTCCTTCGTGACAAATGGGACCTATTTTGGCGCGGTGCGGCCTAAGCGCTGTGCTGATGACGGCTGGTTAGTGAATTCGTGATTTACGTTGATCCCGGAGACCCTAAAGCCGTTAAGCTTTAAGAACTAATTACGACGCTAAATCAAATTTAAGGAATTCGAGAAAAATGGATCCAAATAAGATTTGTTATATACATTATAAATAAACATCGAACAACGAAAACATCAAAAAGTACTAATTATACTAGTCGAGATTAAGAAAGTGGACTTGTTGCTGATTGGAAAATAAAATTGATTATTTCATGTATGCAATCGGGAGTTGGGTGTTAAAATATTCAAGAATTAGATTGTGTTTGAACCACGTCGAGTGGATATTGATTCGTAACAATGCAGGAAAAGATTGAAATGGAAATATAAATACTTTAACTAACACACTATATTTTAACTAGCACTAGAACTGACACTAGATCTAGTACTAGAAATATTCAGGATTCTAGAAGATCTAGTGTTAGATCTAATGTTAGTGTTGGTTCTATACCTTTTTAAGTTCAAATTGACACTAATCAAATTCAAAATGACATTAATCAACATCAAATTGGCATTTAATAATTTAACAAAACAATCTTTGAAAAATTCATCAAACTTTCATACTTTTGCATTTTTCTTGATATCTATATCTCTGAGAGCAAAAGTGCAAGAGAGCAATATTGTTCAGAATAAAATTTGCTACAAGATTTGTTTTAAAAGTTTTTTTGTAACATACTCAGATTCATCAGTGTCACCATTAAGTTGAAAAAACAAATTCATCAAATTTTCATATTTTTGCATTTTTCATCTATATCTCTGAGAGCAAAAGTGCAAGAGATATAAATATTGTTCAACGTTAGATTGTTGTATATTTTTATTGAATTGTTGTGACGTTTTTATTGAATTGTTGTGACGTTTTTATTAAAATTTGAAAAGAACTTCGTTTGTACAAATCAAATTTTCTCAGCAGAGCGTCCAAGAAACTGCAAATTCAAATTGGGTGAAATTGAATGAACGAAAAGTGCCTCAGGGTTGCGACGTTTTTACCTAAACCGTTTTAAGTCTCGAGCTTGAAAGTAATTAATTGGGGAGAAAGGGAAATTCAGCAACAAGTCAACATCACTTCTAAATACAGAATTTCAAAACACCAATATTGGCCCACCGCCAAATGAGACATTCAAATCGGATTGTTAAAAAAGGCGGAATTGAGCCAAATAATTTACGACATTAAATTCATGCATCACACCAAATTTATAAGTAATAATGATTTGAATTGATTTACACATAAATTAATGGTATCTACAATGTGTGTGTAAAAAGAAATAGAGATATAGAAGGAAAGATCAAAATGCTTTTTTCGCATTATTCGCCTCTCGACTTAGCACAGATTCTTACGCGCTAGGCAAACGAACTATGTACTCTTCCTTCAAATCCCTGTAAAAGAAAAAAGCCAAAAATGGGTTTAAACGTGTGCACTAAACTAAATTATTTTCTTTTTATAATTTCACTTAAATTAAGAATAAAGAAATAATATAAAACTACGAGGAAACTACATGCTAAAAGGATTTTTTTAAATGGTTTAGATCAAAATGCAATAACTTTCTCAAGTTTCGCAATCAAAAACTGGTTTAGCTCAAAACAAATTTGATATTTTCGGGGTTTGTGCATCAAAATGTATTGATAAGAAGCTTAAAGCACAAATTCAAAAATAAATCTAAGAATAAATAAACCTGTTTAAAAGAAACGATGTTGAAGTTATTGAATTAAAAGGAAACATTTTAATACTTACGTTGGGAATGTAACGTTTGGGTATTCTCCTTTGGGTATGAAACATCGTTGTCGTAACATGCCCTGCCATAACTGCACACCAACTATCCCGAAAATAAAAAAAACGAAGAAGCACAGCAGCAGGACGTTGCCCAACATTGGTAATGTATCCAGAAGTAACATTACTAATATCCTCATACCTGAAAAAATTAAATTAAACAATTTATGCATTAAACTTGATTGCTTTTAACAAAGAAACTCTACATCAAACACCGGAAATTAGAAAATGCGATTGGTTTTTTTTTTAAGAAAATGAAATAGTCGATTCTACATTCAATTAAGCGGACGAAGTTTCCGGTCCGTTTACTAGAACTTTCTTCTCTCCATTTGGGTTCATTAAAAGTTGGGCAAAGTCTTCCGGTAAATAGTGAATTATTCAAGGGACGCTCTGAAAACAACCCTGTTACCGTAATGAAAACGGCTTCTCGAGACCGAGATTTTTCTAGATAACGCGTCACAAGGATCTCTACGGTAATCATGTTTACCCGGGAACTTTATTTTTGAATAGATGATTCAAATAATTTTTTTGTTGCGCCAAAAATGTATCCAACGTATCAATATCGCACGAATCGATTTCAAAACGTTTTCCGTTCGTTCGGAAAACGGATTTGCAACTTTGTAAAGCCGTAATTTGCGATTGATGCAAATCACGGTGCGTGACCGTTCATCGTTTTCGTGATATAAACTTTTTTAAGATCCATTTTTATATGTATTTCCATTTCGCGTGGAAGTTTTAGTTATATTTTTATTCCATAATTATTTTATTTAGAGTATTGCGTAGTAAATAATCAAAAATTAATGAGCCAAATCTCAGTAAGCCCATAAAAAGGAAGACGTTTTTTATCCTCTGGTTGGAAGAAACATTTGAAATTCTCATGGCTACGCAATATTGCCCAGCTCGACCTCGAAAATCGTTTGGAGAGTCGAGTGAAAGGAGTAAAAGAAGGAAAACAAAGGTGCTTCATTCTATTTTAGAAGACGGAGTTATTGTTCATGGAGCGCAAGTTGAGATGAGTAAATCTGGAAAAAAAGATGCTTCCAATTTACTAAAAGATATTAGGTGCACCCCAACACTCTGTGTCCATTGCTGGACATATTTCCACCAACCTCGTTGGATTTCAAGAGGATATTTTATCAACGTACCGTATAAAATCCATTTCTTGAAATATGAGTATGAAAATTTCCCAAAATGTCCTCTTTCCAATGCACCAACCCGTTATGAAAAATAACTTTTAGTTTTTGAGAAAACAATATTTGAAATTTTAATAAAATTTTCGATGTTGCAATTTTCATCGATAATTTTTAAAATTCGCTATAAAATTAATTTCTTGAAGGATCCTTGTAGAAATATCACCAATTATTAATTAAAGTATCCTCTTTTTAATGTAGTAAGCCGTTTTGAAAAATCGCTTTTAGTTTTTGAGAAAAAATTGTTTGAAATTATCGACAATTTTTTCGAATTTTGCAATTTTCGCCAATTAAATTTTAAAAATTCGTATAAAATCCACTTCTTGGAATATGAGTATGAAAATATCCCAAAGTGTTAATAAGAGTGTCCTTTTTGCTACAAGTTTTGTTTTAAAAGTTTTTTTGTCACATACTCAGATTCATCAGTGTCACCATTAAGTTGAAAAAACAACAAATTCGTCAAATTTTCATTCTTTTGCATTTTTCTTGATATCTATATCTCTGAGAGCAAAAGTGCAAGAGAGCAATATTGTTCAGAATAAAATTTGCTACAAGATTTGTTTTAAAAGTTTTTTTGTAACATACTCAGATTCATCAGTGTCACCATTAAGTTGAAAAAACAACAAATTCGTCAAATTTTCATTCTTTTGCATTTTTCTTGATATCTATATCTCTGAGAGCAAAAGTGCAAGAGAGCAATATTGTTCAGAATAAAATTTGCTACAAGATTTGTTTTAAAAGTTTTTTTGTAACATACTCAGATTCATCAGTGTCACCATTAAGTTGAAAAAACAACAAATTCGTCAAATTTTCATTCTTTTGCATTTTTCTTGATATCTATATCTCTGAGAGCAAAAGTGCAAGAGAGCAATATTGTTCAGAATAAAATTTGCTACAAGATTTGTTTTAAAAGTTTTTTTGTAACATACTCAGATTCATCAGTGTCACCATTAAGTTGAAAAAACAACAAATTCGTCAAATTTTCATTCTTTTGCATTTTTCTTGATATCTATATCTCTGAGAGCAAAAGTGCAAGAGAGCAATATTGTTCAGAATAAAATTTGCTACAAGATTTGTTTTAAAAGTTTTTTTGTAACATACTCAGATTCATCAGTGTCACCATTAAGTTGAAAAAACAACAAATTCGTCAAATTTTCATTCTTTTGCATTTTTCTTGATATCTATATCTCTGAGAGCAAAAGTGCAAGAGAGCAATATTGTTCAGAATAAAATTTGCTACAAGATTTGTTTTAAAAGTTTTTTTGTAACATACTCAGATTCATCAGTGTCACCATTAAGTTGAAAAAACAACAAATTCATCAAATTTTCATATTTTTGCATTTTTCTTGATATCTATATCTCTGAGAGCAAAAGTGCAACAGAGTAATATTGTTCAGAATAAAATTTGCTACAATATTTGTTTTAAAAGTTTTTTTGTAACATACTCAGATTCAGCAGTGTCACCATTAAGTTGAAAAAACAACAAATTCGTCAATTTTTCGAATTTTGCAATTTTCGCCGATTAAGTTTTAAAAATTCGTATAAAATCCACTTCTTGGATTATGAGTATGAAAATTTCTTAAAGTGTTAATAAGAGTGTCCTCTTTCCAATGAACCAACCCGTTATGAAAAATAACTTTTAGTTTTTGAGAAAACAATGTTTGAAGTTTTGATATTGTTATATTTGAAATTTTAATAAAATTTTCGATGTTGCAATTGTCATCGATAATTTTCAAAATTCGCTATAAAATTAATTTCTTGATGGATCCTTGTGGAAATATCACCAATTATTAATTAAAGTATCCTCTTTTTAATGCAAAACGCCGTTTTGAAAAATTACTTTTAGTTTTTGAGAAATAAATTTTAGAAATTATCGACAATTTTTTCGAATTTTGCAATTTTCGCCAATTAAATTTTAAAAATTCGTATAAAATCCACTTCTTGGAATATGAGTATGAAAATTTCCCAAAGTGTTAATAAAAGTGTCCCCTTTCCAATGAACCAACACGTTTTGAAAAATAACTTTTAGTTTTTGAGAAAACAATATTTGAAGTTTTGATCAAATTTTCGATGTTGCAATTTTCATCGATAAAAAAAATTTAAGGTTTTTTTAAAACTAATTGTATATTTTCTTCATTGTTGTAACAATTAAATGACAACCTTTAACAATTGAGATCAGCTCTTGTTGTTTTACGTCAAAAATTCTAACTAAAACGTTATAAAAAGGCCTTTTAGAAAAAAGTTTGCTTTTTCGCTTTCCCGCTTTGGTGAGGTCGCTAATTAAATTTCAACTTCCACGTAAAATTTAATAATTTACAAACAAAATAACGCAAAATAAATAAAAAATATTCAATTTAATTTAATTTAGGGACTAATTAATTTTTTTTTTGAAAAAAATCTTTTACAAAGAGAACGAGTTTTTTGAAGTACGAAGAGACATTAACTTAGTCTTTTGCAAAAATCGACCAGATAGTGACAGGAGGGCAGCGGAACAAAAATACGACATCGCCAACCCTAAGAGAGAGGGTAATATTTCGCCCTTGGCGTCTCAGCGCCGAGTTGATGAGGCGCCCATCTCTTCGTTGGGATTTTCCCGTTCACGAGAGGGCTTACCGAGTCCCGCAAAATTGCTCCTGACACTCCTCCTGGTTTCACTGGTGTAACGAATGCCACGGTCGTACACCACCTTTTCTTGCATACGTCACCTTCAGCACGTTTCAACTTTCAAGGCAGTTTATTTCTTTTATTACAAAGAGGAAAAGAACACGTAGATACAAATCAATGTGACACCACTAAAAAGAATAAAAAAGCGAAATAATACTTACTTGGTATCCTATTAATCGCGCGAAGTGGTCTTAACACTCTGATGGTTCTGATTGCCGATAGATTCATATTTTCTTTTGCGCAATACTCAACGGCCCCGGCCAAAACGATGAAAAGATCGAGACGGTTCCAGGAATCTGCAAGATATGATCCTCGACCCCAAACACCCATCGCAACCATTTTTATCGTCATTTCCAAGGCGAAAAAAGCGAAGATAAAATCATCAAATAACTAAAAAAACAGAAAAAATTTAAGTTTGTTAAATATAAAGCTTGATCAATTAAAATATCGACCAAGTCGTGCTTCGTTTGAAATAAATGGTAGTTCGCCTCGTTGGGTTACTTTTAGATTCGTGGGAGAGCACAGATTGTTTCAGTTAATGGATATTACTATTGAGGTTTCGGTTCCGTGACATGTTACACATGGTAGTCAACATAGTCCATTGGCCTTTAATGTTTATGTTAATGGTAAGTATAAAATCATGAAATAATTACTTATTTCTTAGTATGGCTACTTATAGTAGCAGTTTATAGGCTTTGTAATACACTTTTCTGATACTTTCAAATTGCTTTGGTTGAATTGAAATTGGTTTGTTTTGAGAATAATGTGAAGTATTTTGGGGTTGGGAGGTCTTACTGCTTTATTTACATGGAAGATAAAAAAAGCGGTTTAAATGGGTTAAGTTGCGTTGGTTTGCTTTTGGGTTGGGTTGGGCTAAAATGTGTTGGGTTGTTTTGGGAATGAGTTGAATCGCTTTGGGAATGAGTTGGTTTGCTTTAGAACTGAGGATTTCTATTGAATAGTACATAAGACGTCTCGCAACTGCTTCAGGCTTCTTCTAAACAACATTTTCTAAAAGCTGGGGTTTAAATGGGTTGTATCACTTAAAGATTAAGTTACTTTGGTTTAAGATCCTTCGCAGCTGGAGGTTTCCATTACATTTCATGAAGTACTTCTAACTACTGCAGTTTAAATGTTATTGGGTTGACTCTTAGGAATGAACTGGTTTTGTTATAGAGTTAGGTTTTTCCATTATACTACCTCAGGAATACTTTTTATTAGCTGGGGTTTAAATGGGTTGTGTTATTTAGGGATTGAGTTGGTTTAGTTCAAGACTGGCTTTGGCCGGATATTAAAAACCTATTACTTAGTACTCCACTATTGACACGAATTAATATCTCTTTTAGGCGTTGAACACTGCAGATAATAATCAAGTTGAACCCCTATTAGACTTTTTTCATTGAATACAACTTTATTTATGTCAGGTTTGTCATTAGCAACCTCATTTCATCGATAATTTTCAAAATTCGCTATAAAATTAATTTCTTGAAAGATCCTTGTGGAAATATTACCAATTATTAATTAAAGTATCCTCTTTTTAATGCAAAAAGCCGTTTTGAAAAATCACTTTTAGCTCTTGAGAAATAAATTTTTGAATTAATCGATATTTTCGAATTTTGCAATTTTCGCCGATTAAGTTTTAAAAATTCGTATAAAATCCATTTCTTGGAATATGAGTATGAAAATTTCCCAAAGTGTTAATAAAAGTGTCCTCTTTCCAATGAACCAACCCGTTTTGAAAAATAACTTTTAGTTTTTGAGAAAACAATATTTGAAGTTTTGATAAAATTTTTGATGTTGCAATTTTAATCGATAATTTTCAAAATTCGCTATAAAATTAATTTCTTGAAAGACCCTTGTGGAAATATCACCAATTATTAATTAAAGTATCCTCTTTTTAATGCAAAAAGCCGTTTTGAAAAATCACCTTTAGTCCTTGAGAAATAAATTTTTGCTTTTCCATCGCCATTCAATATTTTAGCCCCCAACCGTAGGTTACGTAGCAGCTGGTTCAACATTTACCCCTGGTACTCTATAATATGCAGATATCAGCTCTTTTCTATAAAGTTTATACATACATAGAACGAAGCTGTAGGATGTCTTGGATGAAAACTTAGATCTTTGTTGCTTTGTATGTATTGAAGATCTTAGAAGAAAGAAGCCATTAGCTATCAGAAACTGATGATGAGTTTCAATACATAGACAAATTGAAACTCAAGCCAAGCTAAATGATTTGATTAGGGATTTGGGCTCAACAAAGGAGAAAGCTGAACTACTTGGTTATAAACTCAAGGAGAAGGATTTATTGGCAGCAGGAATCTAACATTTTTGCATATGGGTGAAGTGGCCCGAATTCTGCCTCCCACTATGAATCACAAATGATCGTAACTGAGACTTGATGATTCTGGATTAATGATAATCATGGATTAAAAATAATATTCTCACTTACCTGTAAGATTTTACACCGATTTGTATCGCAGCTTTCATCCGTGCAGGGTTGATACATCCCCAAAGTGATGCAATTGAGGAGAATCACCATCATCGACACCCTCTCGAACCATGTATAGATTAAATTAAGGAAAATAAAAGCACAATAAACTTCGTGATCGTGGTCATTATTGGTATGATGCCTATTAACACACAATTCAACAGGTTAAAACCAACGCGTATTAAACCCTTCCAATAACTTCAAATTAAAACGCCCCTACAATAAATTTACCACCGGCATATCGGACTACGAATTTAAATCGTGCTCGGTAATTAACGTTCGGCCGCATTAATATTTATGAAATTTCACATCCCACCATCGATTTACAACCTCAAAACTCGTAAAATCAATTTTGAAAGCGCTCCATCTTTATTCGTGTAATATTTCTCTCGGAAAATATAATCCCGGATAAGCGTTTTCCAAAGGCGTATCTATCCCTGTCCTTTTGTTACCTTTAGCTTTGTTCTGAAAAGGATCGCGTGGACTAACGTGTAGATATTTAGACTATTGTATTCGGAAAACTATGTTCCCTCAAAATATAATATCTCTGGATTTAATAAATTTTTTTAAATTGAATCAAAAATTTATTAAAACTGAAGTATTAAAAGTGTTTGAATGAAAATGAAAAAGTTAAAACGTGATTTATGGAAAGTTTGGTCGAAGGGTTGCCAAGATTACTAGAATGAAATACGCGAGTCCCTTCAAAATATAATAAATCGCCTTCGATATTTCCCCTCCCGTTTAATACGGGAGTAAATCATTAAGGATTTCTAATTTTAGAAAATAATTGAACGGTTCCCGGCTTGGAATGACGGAATGCTTTTTGATTCAAGTGGTTCAAAACGACTAAAGTACCATTTTTGTTCTGTGCACTCATAGATAAACTCGAAACTTCTTAATCCTCCCTCGCCCGTTCAAGAGATGGAAAGAGAAAGAAAACAAACGGCTTTCAAAACTCGACCGAAACTTAAATTCATCCCAAGTGCTAAGTTTCTTCTTCTCCTCGTATTCCCCCGACTTCGTCGTCGATGATTAAATCGCATTGTTATTAATTCGTCCGACAAGCAGCGAAATTAATTAAAACGGTCTAATTAAATTTTTGCGTTTTTTATTCCTTCCCTAGTTTTTTCGGTGGCGAATCGAACGCACAAAGCACCATTGCTGGTGGAAAAGAGGGTAGAAATTCCACCCCCGCATTCATTCGACTACGGACAAAGCAAACGGCCGATTGCTGCCTCTGAATGGAGCATTGTTTCTCTCTGAATGCTGCAAACTGCAACCGCTAAACACAGACGAGGGGACGTCGTATGGACTTTCCACTTCGACAGTTCTAAGAACTAATCCCCGATTTATCCACTCCCCAAAGATTTCATCCGGAAAGGATCCTTAACTTAAAAAAAAAAGTTTTAAATATTAATTTCTTTATAAATCTATTATTATTTTTTTCTATATTATGCATAAGAATTAATGTAATTAAACACTAGATAATGTTTTGCAGCTTTTCCCAGTGGTCCAGTCTGCTTTACTCATAATATGGTGTAATAAAGCTTCCAAGACATTTTACTTAAGAGAGAGACATAACCTCAATTAATTTGACATTTAATTTTTAGTTGCTTATTTGGAAGGATAATTCTCTTAAAACTGCTAATATTCATTCAAAACGGTAAAATCAGTGTCAGCTACATCTAATTTATTAGATTCCGAAAGATTTAGACTTTGCAAATTGGATTTTAAATTTGTCAATTTCAAACTTCTTTTGTGGTTGGAGAATTTTGGGAATAATTCCAAGATTAGGAGTCTGTCTTAAAAACCGATGATTTTGTTTCTAATCGATAGCAAATGAGTCAAAAGAGGCGTTAATGATAAAAAAAAAGTGCGGAAAAGTGTAGTACATACCGAAAAATCACTTTAAAGTTGCGATTTGACGTTTCGTTTTGAAGGTTAAAAGCAATGTCAAATATGCTTACGTATTAAATCCTAACCTGAAATTGTTTAATTTATACCCACGCACAAAATAAAAAGTTATTTTCACTAAACTTATTGAGATTACAACATATTACCTTATTTCTTAGACTATCAATGCATAACGACAATTACCTGTCGTTAGATAGAATTGTTTCTACCAAATGTATGTTAATAGACTTTGTGTTAATAGATTGTGTATCAATTGATCTGTCAAACGACTGAAATATCTTTATGTTGTAAATGTAAATGATAAATAAGTATAGTGCTTATTTAATAGTAGTTTACTTAAATTAAAATAGTTATTAAAAAAGACATGTGTATACACGGTTACAAAATAAAAATAAATAAATAACCCGTGTGACGATAGCAACAAACCTTCCAACAACAAACTTTTACGCGTAATTTCCGATATTATGCATAAGAATTAATGTAATTAAACACTAGATAATGTTTTTGCAGCTTTTCCCAGTGGTCCAGTCTGCTTTACCCATAATATAGTGTAATAAAGCTTCCAAGACAGATTTGGACAGGTTACCTGAGAGAGAGAGAGAGAGACATAACCTCAATTCATTTGACATTTAATTTTTAGTTGCTCATAATTCTCTTAAAACTGTTAATATTCATTCAAAACCATCCAAAACGGTAAAATCAGTGTCAGCTACATCTAATTTATTAGATTTCGAAAGATTTTGACTTTGGAAATTTGATTTTAAATTTGTAAACTTCAAACTTCTTTTGTGGTTGGAGAATTTTGAAACCTCCAATGGATGATTGAAATAGAAGGATATATGCATTAAATACGAAGTCTCATCAAGAATAATGAAGGAATAAAGAAGATTTTAAAAAAAGAAATTTTTTATTTTTGGGTAATTCAAAAGAAATCCGATAGATGGCGTTTTCGACATTTAGAAATCTTTAAAATGTTTTTAAAAGAAGAAATGGCGCGAAACCCATCTACCAATGAGGATAGAGGGTTTTAAACAAAAGGAAGAAACTTTATTGGAGAAGGGGAAAAGGCTATATAAGAAGAGGAAAAAGTTGACCAAAGGCAGTCCAATTTAGTAAGGGTAAGAGCTCTGTTAAATTTGATTAAAAAATCTAACCTAAAAAAATCCAAAATAATTTCCTAACCTAAAATTAGTGCTCCGATAATTTCAATCCAAACTTAACACTGAATATAGACTTCTTTTTATTAACGTAAAAAAGAAAAGAAGCAAAATTTAAACATCGGAAATAAATTGAGAAGAAATTACCTGATTCCTGAAAATTCCTGATCGAAACAATATATGATTGAAGAATAATTATCTGAGTAGAAGCTTTCCGGATTCCTGTCTATTTTCCATTCCTAAGAGGGACCTTCCAACACGGAAAGAGGCACATAACCTAAAAGTTATTTATCAGATAAGTGGAAATTTTACTATTCATATTCATGTAATAATTCAAACTAACTTACGAGTCTTGAAGAAACAAAATGCACAATAACACTGTTATTCTTGTTTTGTTTGAGCATTTATCGATAGACTTAAGTTTTTATAATTTTTTATTAGTTTCTTAACGTAAACATAACAGTTTGACATCTGTCTTTATTGGCGGTATACGCTCTCTCTCTCTCATTCTCAGTACACTCAGTTAACGAAGTTAAAAATAGAAACCTGTAATAGTATATTAAAAAATAAAATTCAAGTTGAAAAACGAGTGGCGAAGCCACGAGTTTTTTATCGAATGAGCGCTTTAAGTCTTATGAAACGTGTTTTTTATGCTATTTTTGTAATTCGCGTTTTTATCCTTTTTTTTCTCAAAAATAAAATAAATTTTGACAATGTAGGGAAATAGGTATGTAGCAGTTGATAACACTTGAAAATAGAAATTTGAAATGACAGTTAGAAACTGTCAAAACGCAAAATGTATTCACCTGACAAAAATGTTTCATGCACACCTCTCAAAATAAGAGAAATTACTCATCCTCATCATTGTGGACCTTGTATTCGATGCTAAGAACGTATTTAAACGTCTATAGACAAATATTATCACATTGACAACTAGAAAAATTAATGACACAATGTCACCAATTTGAACTAGTTCCATAAAATGTTACTAAAATCTCATTACGGCATCGGATGCTGTAAGGAGTCTTATTACAGCACCCGTTTGAGTACTGTAATAGCTTTCATTACCGTTGCGAATTACAAAAAATTAATTTTCCTTTTTTGAACCTAAACTCGCTATATTATTATTGTTATTTTTATTAAAACCATGAGATAAGAGTATTTGAAAATTTAGTTAATAATAAAGTTTGGCGATAGTTAACTCCAGGTTCATTGTGTAAATTAATAATAATTCTTTCTTGCTTTCCGTTTTTCTGCAATTTTGTCTTTAATGAATTTAGGATAAATATTAGATTTAGGTTTTGGTGTTAAAGTTGGTGTTGATGCCCAATTGGCTTTATTATTTAGAGTAATAATTATTGTTGAGTGATTTGAGTCCAGCCCTAACTCTTCTTCTATGTTTACGAAGTAAAGCGATATATTTTTCAATTTTTCATCTGTCTATTATTAATGGAGATAAATTTTGGCCGATAAGCGACTCTGATGAGCGCATGGTGTAGTGTGGTTTCCGTTTTCTGTGAAATTAATACGCGCAATATTCGCTGCTCTCGGTTCGTGCATTTTTAAACCAGCGGCGGTTCACTCCGCGTGCAATAAATATTAATTCGGTGAAATGTAACCCGGATAGGATAGTCTGGTCGATTTTAGAGGATGGAAATTCGGTGCCAAACTCAAACTCAACTTATATTCCACCCGCTTCCACGTTTATTATCGCAAGACGTTTCTCTCCGCTTTATTGCCGTAATAGGATTAAAAAGGTTGCTGCAACAATAAGGGGTGGTTTTCATCGCGGAAGATTTAAAGGACAGGTGGTCGAGGTGCTTTCGTAAAGTACCAACTTGTTGAGCAAATAAATCAAGTGGAAAGCTTCGGCGAAGATGCATCAATCTAAATCCTCAGTTACAGTTCGTGAGTTAGATGTAAACTCTTATTTTCAACGAGAATAGATGAGAAGAACAAATGAGATATTTCTAAAACGAAATTGGATTTTATTTTGGCTGATGATGTCACTTATATAACGAAATCGGTTAAAAGTTATCCTATATTTTGTGAGATGTGTGAAAATTTCCTAACTGGATTTATAAGATTCCCCTCTCAGCGTGACGTTAAGGATTTCAGCAAACAAAGGCTGTCTCGAGGTTTATTTTAATTTAAACCCCGCGCATACTTCGGCTTCAATATTTTCCCATCGAGAAAGAAAAATAGATGAATTGGGATGTCAAATAGTCGGCATTTCAATATCCCGCGGCTTATCTTAGAAAATGTCGGTGGTAAATTTTCATTTCAAACCAAGTCTCTCTAATATTCTGAGCCGCTTTATGACATCGTAGAGCGGCTTTACATAAAAAAAGGGTAGCTTAAAGTCCGTCGGATTAGTAAAGTCCGAGGATTTTGGGGATGGATGAGGGAAAGTCCCTGCATTTTTTATGCACAGGAAAAACACCCCTCATGAATTATTTGACTAAATTTAAATTCGAAGAATTATTTAAGCGCCACTAAAAATCTATTGATACGCTTTGACCACGGGCTTTTGGGTAAACGTTGAGGCCCTTTGTCCGCTTACACGATTGTTAAAGTTCAAAGGGTCGAATGTTAACGTATGCGGGCGCGCAGGCTTTCCTAAATACGCAAACAGAAAGTTTCACCGAAAACACAATACTATAGGCCGACCCAGATTTGCAAATTCCACACTTGTCCAGGATTCCTCTTATATAGATAATCATATTAAATAGGTTACAATTTCTCATTTAAGTGGGGTAATAAATGATAATGTCTTAGTATCTATTAACTAAGTTAAAAAAAATTAAATAAATAAATTCAAATAGATTTTGCAATAATAGCTTTAAATAGAACTAGAAACATTCAGGTTTAGCCGTAATAATAATAATCTGGGATAGAGTTGTATAGAGAATATATACTGTAGGTAAACGATCGCTCAAAAAGGGTGGTCCTATACTTAGGAGGATTTATAACATTTCTATTTCTGATGTTGACACTTTGCAAGTCACCTAAAAAATTAATCTTTCTAGCTAAGGTGGATTGCGACTAATAATTACGTCATTAATACGAGACCTCATACTAAGCCATCCAAGATCCTTCAATTTATAAGTTATATGGTCATATTTTCTTATGACGAAAATGTACCACATACAAGCATTTTGCACACGCTGCAACCTAGACACGACAGCAACGTCGAGACAAGGACTGAAGACTGGAACACAATAATTAAAAATAAACAGCACAGTGCTTTCATATAAAATTGTCTTAAGCTTGCTAAAAAAATACAAAACCTTCAGGTCTAGAAAACTCAAACCTATGAGTCTTGAAATATGCTGCCGATATCGAAACGTATTATCAATAATAAGACCCAAATTCTTCTCCTGTAGTGATATAGGAATTATATTATTATCAACACTGATTTTAACCAGTGATAGTAGTTCACGAACATAAATTGACAGTCTCTGAAGATCATAATTAATTTTATTTACAGCATTTTCATAATCTTTAAATGAAAAACCATAATACCGTTGAGTGTCATCCGCATACATGTGGGCATTACAATATTTGATACAATTGTGCGACAAGCACGTATAAATGGTAAACAGCAGAAGGCTCAATATTGATTCTTGTGCAACACCTTTATTAACATGTAATGGATGAGAACCGGAACCACCCAACTTGACACATTGATGCTTATTACTTAAATAAGATTTAATTAAGTCTAGGAAAGATTGATGACACCCAAGTAGTTTAAAATTGACACAAGCAATTGGTAACTAATTGAATCAAATGCCTTGGTAAAATCTAATAAGACCAAAATACCACAATCACCCCAATCCCTAATTCTAAGGAAATCATCTGTTATATTCAAAAGAACTGTAGTAGAACTACGCCCAGGTACAAAACCTGACTGACACTCAGGTAAAATGTTGTAATGTACTTAATTTAACGCTAACTATTTTTTCCAAAATCTTGCTAAAATCAGGCAATAAGCTAATAGGACGAATATCACTATATCTTACAGGCGCATTTTTTTAGGGATTACATTACATCGTTTTCCAAGAAGAAGGAAAATATTTCTCCTCGATACAACAATTGTATCTGTAGTTTTAACATATCCATAGATACACCATCATGACCAATAGAGCTGCCATTCATATTCATCACTAAGCTTAAAATTGTATCTTCATCTAAAGATCGAAGTCTAAATACAGACCCAATATTGTTAAAAGTATTACTATTGTAAAAGGTTGCAGAATGAATGTTATCGCATTGACTATCTGCTACATTATATACAAATGTTGAGTTTATTTCATTTACATTTCTTAAATGAACTGGAGGCTATTGTTTTTAATTCGCAATATACGACAGTCCCTTAACACATTCCAAATTCTTTTTTGATTAGAGTTTTTGTGTAAATGCTCAAAATATGCTTTCCTTTCAGCATCAATAGCAAAATTTGTATAATTTCTCAATTGTTTGTTTATATTTCCAATGAGATGTTTGCTTGCTACGTTTATGATCTAGTATCAGTTCTAATGCTACTGTTAGTTCTAGTTGTTATTCAGTGCTAAATTGTATATACTTATTGAACTAACACTAGACCTAGAACTAGAAACATCTTCGGCTAGAGCTAGAAACTTGACCCGAATGTTTCTAGTTCTAGGTCTAGTGTTAGTTCTAGTTTTACACTATCACTATAACTAATACTAGAACTAGAATCATTCGGGTTTAGCCGTCTTTAGAGACTTGTGGCTAAAACCAAATGATTCTAGTTCTAGTTTTACACTATCACTAGAACTAATACTAGAACTAGAATCATTCGGATTTAGCCGTCTTTAAAGACGTGTGGCTAAACCCAAATGATTCTACTTCTAGGTATAGTGTTGTTATAGTTTTAATTGTTATTCAGCGTTAGATTGTTGTTTATTTTTAATGTCGCACAGCTAAATCAAAAACTTATCGAGGTTTTACTATACTCGACTTTTTCTATAACACTAGTCAACAGCCATTTTGCATTTGGGGTTGTGATATATCACTTTATATGTATTTTAGTATGTAGAATGCGCATATATCTTTCAAAATGTTCTGGCTCGTAAGATTTTGGTGTTCCTATGGTGTGGTGTGAGCCTAAAAAATTTTACCAAAACTTGTCATAAAATAAAGTATCATCAGTGCATTCAAACCCATAATGAAGGATTGCCTGTTTGATTGACCCAACGTCAAGTGAATCAGAAAGGCATCTCTTTGTTTTAATCCTCTGCTCATGTTGCCTGGTATCTCAAATTTTGTCATTGCCGAATGTAACTTTACTAGTGTAATCTAATTGTAGTTCGTTTTAATGAAAAAGTGATACAACAGTCAAAATAACTTATTCTAAACCCTTCAGCAAAGAGATTTACAAGAGATTATCTCTCACAACAGTCTATATAATAGCCAAGCAAAATCGCTCAACAATTTCAGGCTTTAAACCCCGAATTCAAAAGCACGAGCAGATCGCAGACCGAGGGACGACGTATTTTGCACAAGTTCTGCGGGGAATT